GCATCCAAAGTCAAGTGGCCAAACCACTCGACTACTATCTATCAGTGGCGCATCTAAACGGGGAGGCGGGGGTTCCTCCCTAGATTGGGGATATGGGTGGTGTACGCCGGCTTCGCTCAAATCATGATTATTTTTTGTTGTTGTTAAAAGTAAGTGACAAGTGTCATCAGCTTGGCTGCTAAATGTTATCACCGAGAAGTATGACTCTTAAAAATAACAACTAGATCAGCCAGGCATTATATTTTCCTCATGTCGAACAGAGCATGGATTACAATGAATTACGCCCACAAACCACTTTATTGTCAATGCTTGACACTGAAAAAATTAAAGAAGATAAATTTATCGGAGAGAAATCTAGTTGCCAATTCATCTAAGCCCCTCTGAGCCTGATGTAAAAGGTGGAATTAGATTAGAAAGCCCACATTGAAAAACACGTGGCTATACGTCTGTCATAGTGAACTTATTTTTCATGAACCTTCCTCTCGTATGGTCACTATTTATGATATACCATACAAAATTAGACTGCATTAATTATACAGCGGCTCTAGATAAAAAGCGGTGCTTATGATAGCCTATGAAACATTTGTACACGCCCTTGTTATTCTGATAACAGACTGTGTAATATATAAAGAACAGTGGCGTATCCACGTTTCTCTTGCACGAGGGAGGGGGCACAAGTCCGAACAATTCTGAGGATCAAGGGTGATCAATTTTTTCAGGTGCCTTTGACCATCTGAAGTTGCTATTCGGGGGCACACTGTTATGAGGTATTTTGTAAGTGTGTGTAAGCAGGTACCCCAGTGCCCCAGTTCACCACTGATATGTTGTTCTTTTTTGCTTCATTGTCCATGTTAAATTTTGCCTCAGTGTGTTTGCAGCCCTTAGCTGGCTGCTAACAAAACAATTAAAATAAGTTTGGTGACCCCCCCCCCCCCCTCATGCATTTTGAGTGTTATGAAACAGCGTATCGATTTCGACCATCCAACATGAATTTTTCCTATTTTTACTTGGATATTCTTGGAAGGCGAATAAAAGTTTTTTTTAATATTTTTTTATCTTGTCCGTTTGTTGTTGAGAAAGTTTTTGACGGTCGTATCATGATGGGGACTCTTGTTTTTCCCTTTATGAAGAGGGGGGAGGGAGGGAGCTTTGCCAGCTCTTGTAAACAGTTAGTAAAGACCATTTCCTTCTGCCACACCCTTATGAATAATGCAATAAATCCCTAGCCCTGTATGATTGTAAAGAGCATAATCTTCTGTGTCCCTTACAAGGTTTTCGCTTGCTAAATGCCCCGGCTAAATGCTCTTCTAGGTGGCTTAACTAGGAACTAGATAGTTGCTGATCCCTGGCAGCAATACTAGATGGCATATCGCTGAAACTGGACGAGCTACACAAGTTACGATTATGCTGAAATAAAGTGTTAAAAGGAAAGCGATTTTATCTTAATGTGAAGTATAAAACGCTCGTCTTAATAAGCTCCTGGCATTTTAAGAGACAGCATGTTTTCTTTCTTCTTTGATATGCAGGCCGAGCATCCATTTTGTAAAGCACAACAGGCTTGTTTTAGAAAATGTTTTAGAAAATAATTTCATGAAATTAATTTGTTATGACAACTGTTATATAATAATTCATGATTACTCTCACTACCTTTACAGGATCAAATAGATATTGGAAGTCAGCGAAATATTATCTTGTATTGTTTTTCTTTGTTTCTGCTTTTGTTTTTGTTTTTGTATGTTTTGTCGAAGCATAGACACAGTAATACTTTTGTACTGTACAAACCAGTTAAATAATGATATTGGAAAACAGCGTCTTTTAATAACTATTAAATGTAGATCATTTTGGTTTTCTTCACAACCTCGTTATCTAAGCCTCATTATTCAATGATCCCCATATGCAATTTAATCCATTTGATTGAAAATGATGTAATGTGCAATAATATTGTTGCCATTTTCATCTTACTGTTATCATAAGAAAGGAATGTGAAAATGGAATTCTGAAGATAAAGGAAAAAATCAGATGCGTCAAACCTCACTTAGCAAAATAAGCACGAATGTTCTTTTAATATAATGATTTTATACAAACAATATTTCCTGAATCTAAATTGTTTAGGCCTCCTAGAGTAGTAGACAAATGAAAGAAAACTAATTTACTTCAAAGAACGCATAAGGGGGTTGTCTAGACTTGCGTATAAAATAGTGTTGTTGAATTTCTATTTGATAAGACCGTTGTATAATTTGTATTCAACGTTTGGCGAAGCTCCGGGAAACACGGGGCACGTGCCCCTCTCTCACTCGAGTGGCCAGAGAGAGAGGGAGGGAGAGAGAGAGGGGGGACAGGGAGAGAGAGAGAGAGAGAGGGGGAACGAGAGAGAGAGAGAGAGAGAGAGAGAGAGGGTGAGAGAGAAGAGAGAGGGAGAGAGAGAGAGAGAGAGAGGGGGACAGGGAGAGAGAGAGAGAGAAAGAGAGAGAGAGAGAGAGAGGGTGAGAGAGAGAGAGAGAGAGAAGAGAGAGAGGGAGATAGAGAGAGAGAGAGAGAGAGAGAGAAGGGGGAGGGGGTGAAAAGAACATGATATGACTCCCTCCCAATCCCACACCTTCTCCTCTCCCGACCCTGTGATCACAAATCTCATTCGCCTAGTCCCCCCCCCCCCCCCCGCCCATGACATGACACAATATATTCATTACTTTACCCATGCCGCAACCGCCGTCTCCTAATTTGCAATCTGTTTTAAAGAGTCCATGGATCGAAGGTGTTTCGTCTGAAGTAATTAGCAGAAATGTTCTTGTGTTGACTTGGTAAACATTTTTTTAATCAAAGGAGCTGATTGCATAAGGTCATCGTTTACCGGATGGTAACTAATTTTAAATAAAAATAGAGCCTAGATTCATAAAACTGCTTAGCTAGTTTCGCAAATTATTTATTTTCCATTGCTCCGGGCAAAACCAAAATCGGTGATTTTCAACATGTTGCGTTTGTTGAGCAGCAGGTTTTTGCACTTCAGATCTCTATGGACTATTTTTGATTGCTACCCGAGAGGAATTCAAAAAAGATTTTAACAACTGTTTATCCTTTATCAAATGCTACGAAAATCAGTAAATGGTCCGTGACGTATAGGACCCGCATTCTGAAATCTGATTTAAATTAAACCAAAATTAAAGTGTGGTCTCAGTCAAGTCTATCTCCAGTTAAATCGGCCCGGTGTTTTAGATTAAACTTTCTGAAGTCCGGTTTAACTAATACTCCAGTCTAAGTCCAGGTTAACTCTGAACAAAGTTGCTTCACGCTCGTGATAATCACTGTTTGCGTTTGGTCATGTGGTTCGGACAGTCTTGACCGGAGCACCTCCACATTTTAATGTCTCCGAGTATACATTTTATCGATCGTTCCCTCTCTTTCTACCTTCTTCGGCCGACCTTCTCCCCCTTCCCCACCTCCTCTCTCTTTCCCCTCTCTGCCTCTCACCCTCTCTCTCTCCCTGTCTCTCTCTCTCTCTCTCTCTCTCTCTTTCTCCCCCCCCCCCTCTCGTTCTCATCCTGGGAATGTTATTATGATTTGCTCAAGATCCTCTTCAAAAGTCTGCATCGAAGATTAATGTATAGATCCTGGATAATTAGAATCTGTCAATCAAAAGGAGATTTAGGTAATGGTTAGATTATCCAGATTATCTGGCGCTACCATCATCCCTTGATACCTCTAAAATAATCCATCGCTAGGGGGTCCTTGAGAGAAATTCTGTTATATATATATATATATTATATTGAAAGTATAATTATTCTGAAATCACGCCGCTGTGAGAAAATAAAGTATCAAAAACCGCAAGACGCCAAAATAATATCACATTGGGTAGTTTGATGAGGAAATGACATTTTAAAAATAATAACGTTTTTTCTTTCTTTCTCGCTTCCCCTCCTCTCTCAAAATTAAGAAACTTAGCGGTCTCAGGCAGGTATACATTAATACCCCCGTATGACCCCCCCCCCCCCGTATTTGGGGCACCTTGCTGCCCGAATACCCCGGAGCGGATTCAGGATTTCTTAGGGGGGGGGGGCCAATTTTTGTTTTGCTCCCGAAAATTTGAAAATCGCGCCGGCCGGAAATTTATCAGTAATAAATATCAGGGCAAGAGGTGACGGCCCCAGTGTGAAAATATGCCCGTATGCCTATGTGTATATGAAAGAATGATGGAAAACAAATCTTCTGTAGTGGATTTGGTATCGCAGTAACGAGAAACGTTTTGATTCCTAAAAGGGTGCCGTGGCTTTAAAAAAAGGTGGGGGTGAAAAAAAGGGGAAACCTCTTTGGCATTATTTGTCCTATTAAGTACCGTACCTGTTTTGAATAAAAACGATAAAATGAATATTTGTAGTTTTAAAACGTTCATTCCTACAACGGGAAACGGATAACGAGCCAGGAATCTGCAATGCCGTACGTGCACATTATATCACCAGCTGGCTAACGTTACTTGCCCGGATGGATATCATCTGTCAAATTGTTCAAATCTGTGAGCGAGCAAAGAGAATGAGCAAGGAAATCCTCATACTATTTTTAGTGGAAGGTGTCATTCAATAAATATTTTTTAAAGATAACGATAAAAAATAAATCGACTCTAAGCTGAAATATTACCTGGATATCATTTTATTGTTAAAGGTTTCTAAAATTTCTAAAATACCAAATGGCGGCCCCTTTTTCCGGCATCGAACATCTCTAATATTTATTGCAAAGTTAAGAGTAGTATCAGAGTGCGCGCAACCATTGTCTAGGGCTTTGACTTAAAGCGCGTCAACAATAGATCTTGCGCGCGCACCCCAAGTGTGGGTTATGCCTGCATAGAAACGCTGATATACGTTTCGACAGGTGTATCATTTCAAAGCGCACATTTGTCCTGTAACTTTATTAATACAATCTTTTAAGCCATGTAAAATCGGGTAAAATATGGTAAGATGGAAAGGCTAAAGATTACGATTATACTACTCTGAAAAGTGCAAGGTTTTTCTGCTATGGCAAGTGAAAAGTCCTCGGGGAATGGAAAAGACAAAGGACATTCTGTGTTAGAATCCCACGGTTTTAACGTGCAGGAGACCGTCGGTCATGGATCCTATGCCGCTGTGAAGTGTGCATACTCCACTAAACACAAGTGCAAAGTGGCCATCAAGGTGGTGTCCAAAAAAAAGGCACCCGAAGACTATCTCATCAAGTTCTTACCGCGAGAGATACAGGTTGTCAAGATCTTGAAACATCCTAACTTGATATGCTTCCTGCAGTCCATCGAGACCACCAGTCGCGTCTATCTGATCATGGAGCTCGCTGATAACGGTGACTTGTTGGACTTCATCAAGGCCAATGGTGCAGGTACAGAGGAGCAGACTGGCCTCTGGTTTCACCAATTAGTGGATGGTATGGACTATTGCCACAATTTAGGCGTGGTCCATAGAGATCTGAAGTGCGAGAACTTGCTGCTCAACAAACACAACATGTTGAAAATCACCGATTTTGGTTTTGCCCGGAGCAAGATGAAGCCACCGGAACCGGGGCGGACCATTCTAAGCGAGACCTACTGCGGAAGCTACGCATATGCACCTCCGGAGATCCTAAGAGGTATTCCTTATTGTCCGATGTTAGGGGATATCTGGAGCATGGGGGTGATCCTGTACACCATGCTCTACGGACGGCTCCCATACGACGACACCAACCACAAGGTTCTCCTGAACCAAGTGCAAAGACCTCCAGGATTCCCAACCAGCCAGGTCGTCCACAGCGACTGCAAGGACCTCATGTGCAGGATCTTGTCCCCGGCAAAACGGCGCATCAACATGGAAGAGATTCAACACAATGCCTGGTATATCAGAACCACACCAACGGCTGGAAAGCCCAACAAATCAGGCCTAACTAAGCAGACTGGAGAAGGACAGAGCTCAACTGCCCAAGATGAGAAAGACTAATAATGAAAGTTGTGCCCGGCGTCAAAGTTCACTTCCCCTTTCAATTCTTCCAAAATTTAATTTAATATGAATTGATCAAAATCATAGAGAGAAGAAAACAATTGCAAGCAGTACATATTAATCTACATTACAAATGGTAGAAAAGACCAAAACAAAAATCCCATTAGTATTTCACAGTGCAAGGTAATAAAGGAATTTTAAAGGCAAAGAATCTGAAGCATTGATTTCTTTTTATTGAGCATAATAGAATCTGGTACATTGACTCCGAATTTAAAAAAAAAGTATCGTACAGTTATGGATTACATAGAAGTACAATTTATAAACATATATAGTATTATATTCAATATCTACAATGAAGATAAGTTAAGAGCTCCTGCTCTCTCTCTCACTATGTTTCCTCTACATTTAAATCGAATAAGTGACCTATTGCAACTAGCAAGTTTGACTAAAGTTATTTTGAAAAAATAAAAAGACCCTAAAACTATTTTGCCGAATTCTCCTCCTTACGTAAAATACCAAAATTGAAGAGTGGCTCCATGATTTTAAATTCTCAATAAAGGGCGCTATTTCACTTTAAGAAAATCCAACTTCGAGTAGGATGAAGACAAACTGGCTAATTGGACATGGAAAGAATATGCCAACCATCGCTATCACCAAAAATTAAAAAACAAACAAGCAGAGAAAAAATGGAAATCACCTTTTTTCTCTCATTCCCATCCCGGAAAAGTATTTTTTTGTAAAAGCTTTTGTACCATTCAGTTCTCAATGTGATTTTGTGTCTGGATTAGCATATAGTCCATGCAAGATGCACTTAAAAAGCTGGAAATCCTTACATTCTGTTTACTTAAATTCTTCACTAAGTCATCTCCCAAAACAAGTTTTGACGAGATAGACCGAGGCAATCATAATTTTAACTAAATCTTAAAGATGACGATTGCAGGAAAAGCAAGGAAAAATAGTGAGAAACAAATGATTATGATGAGGCACTTGCTCAAATTGTATGTAGGGTAGAGAAAAGAAATGATGAAAATGATGGCAATTGAGAAAAACTAAGCCATAAGGAATATACATGTATGTCAAAAGGCGGGAAGTAAGTACAAATATAATGAGATTACACAACAATATACAATCATGATTTTAAGATAAAATGTATTGCCAAATTTAAAATGGGGGTTAAAATTTAACATTATATATCAGTAGTGATCTATATGAACAAGCAGAACAAACTAAATTAATATTTAAACCAATTTATTTGTAACATCGTGGAGAACATAAATGTAGTGTGGTATCATCTGAAAGATTTCTCTAGAAATGATCTCATTATTTTTGAATTATTACATAGCAAGAAGTCATCATCTATTGTGATACTTGGCTTTTATTACTCTTTGTGGTTTTATTAGTTCCAAAACTGTCAAATACATTATTATTTCCAGTTGCATCCCGATTCTACATTTCAGTACAGTTTCTCAAAAGTTTCTTTTAAAATGAAATTCTACCAAAAGTTTCTTTCAAAATAAAATTCTACCAAAACTTTCAAATATCACATCTGAGGGGTGATACATATCAAATGCAATATACATTATTTCTTACACAACATTTAAGCAGAATTTGTGTTCTTCCAGAAAGGCATTGACACTGAAGATAGCATCCACTTACACTGTGAACAAAATATATTAACAATATACAGATCAGGTAGTATACAATATAACTGTTACGTAATTCACAGATTAATTCTCATTCATAAGTTATCATCTTTAAAATCTATTTACACACAAAAGTGACCACATACTTGTTATATGTTACACCTACACTGAGAAAAAAGGATATAGTAGATTTAAATTTAAATTTCAATCTCACTGCTCTATTTAACTGACATTTACCACAAGTTTAACATCAGTTGGAGAAGCAAAATCCTGATGAGCTTAAATTTTACAATACAGCATCATATTATTATTATTCCTAAAGAGAATTTATCAAATTACAGGGATAGAGTACTTAGCAACAATCACTGTCTTCAATCTAGGTCCTCTAACTAGTCAAATCATACCAATATCATATCATGGTATACAACTATATAAATACATGAACATATAAATGTTTACAATTTCAATTCAGTTTTCCTGTTAAAAAGCAATTATCTGAACATGAACTGTCTTTTTGACCAATTCTAAAGAAACAACCCTCATAAATAATGCTGTTAAAGCCTTCATCCTATAATGCTCTTGTTTTTTTTACTCTATTGACGGGCAATGTTGATGGTAAAATGCAAGGTAAATTGAATATGTTACATATTTCAAGCATATACACAGACATCCTAAAATCCTGTAATTATAACTTCAATCTGATGAAGCAAACTTGGTCTACTCCAGGCCACTGAAGGAAAAACTATCACAAGAGAGATGATCCGTTTTATCTAACCAAACACACAAATCCTGCCAAAATTTACTATCCTAGCTTGCATTTCCAATAAAATTGCGAGCAGCTCAACTATTTTTTTATGAAAACAATATTGTGTTTAGAACTTGTTTAGAACATCATTATTATGTCTGAGTAAGTCTCTTATTTACATATTTATTCAAATTACATATAATTAAAAGTGTATAAATATCATGATTTAATCTCCTCTTCAGTTATTCCTATAACAAACATTCTAGATGGGTGAGAAAGAGAGGGAGAGGGGGAAGAGTGAGAGGAAGGGAGGTAGAGGAGGTAGAGGAGGGAGAGGAGGGAGAGGAGGGAGATGAGGGAGAGGAGGGAGAGGGAGAGGGAGAGAGAGAGAGAGAGGAAGAGAGAGGTGGAGGGATGGAGGGAGGGAGGAAGAGATAGATAGTAAGTGAGAGGAAGACAGATTGTATGAGAGAAAGAGCAATAAAGGAGAGAGGAATATAATTAAAATGAAGCAGGTCTGTGTTAAGAAAGTATTGAGAGAAGGGAGTAAGGAGATTGAGAGGGGGATTGAGAGGGGGCAAGGAAGGAGAGAAAGGACCGAGATATAAAGAAAGATAGAGAGAGAGAGAAAGAGATAAACTGGGATATTTCATAAGAGAAAGGGAAGATGAGAGGAGGTGGGCTTACTGGGTGCTCAATAAATATATCATGTTTGTTAATTGAAAGTTAAGGGGAAAGGGTGTATGTGTGTGAAAGAGAAAGAGAGAGAAAGAGAGAGAGAAGAGAGAGAGGGAGAAAGAGAAAAAGAGAGAGAGAGAGAAAGAAAGAGAGAAGAGAGAGAGAGAGAGAGAGAGAAAGAGAGAGAGAAGAGAGAGAGAGAAAGAGAGAGAGAGAGAGAGAGAGAGAGAGCAGGATATGTGTGGAGGAAAGGGAGATTGAGAGAGAGAGGATAAAGGAGAGGTAGAGAGATTGAGTTAAGTGAGGAGTGAGGACAGGAGATTGGCCATTTGTAAAACACACTACATTTTAAAACCAGACAGACAGAAAAAACAAAGATTACCATCCTCAATTTCTTAAGGCCTGCAATCTCTGTGTAAGTCTGTCCTCCTCCACCATCGTCCGGGACGAGGAGGCGGTCGACGACGCCAGGGTACCGGTCCCGGCCAAGGGGGCGGCGGCCAGGTCTGAGATCATCTCTAGCCCATTCTCCTCTGCCACCTGGCTGATGAGTTGATCAACCTGGTCTTGGGGTGTGGAGAGGGTGGTAGCTGCACCCATGGAACCCTCCAATACCTGAGGGCAACGAGAAAGGGGCAAGAAGAGTTGTTACTTCCTTAACTCTTTACATGCCACATAAATAATCTCCCTGTCCAAACATTGTACAGTCAAACCTGTCCATAGCAACCGCCCAAGGGTACACAAAAAGTGGTCTTTGTAGACAGGTTCCTTAAGTACATGTTTAAATGAAGAACCATTTTCAAGGGAAACAAAAAATGAGGTGTTTGTAGACAGGTGGTCACTAAAGCAGGTTTGACTGTATATGGGATAGATATACTAAAGGCTGTAAGATTATCACACTGTTTCCAGTGCAAGATTAATCTATACTCGTTTTCAAAGGGTTATATTGGAGCTAATAAAGACCAGTAATGTGTAATTTTGCAAAGCCATTGTGTTGCAACAATCATACCTTCCGTCAATTGTTGCCGATTGTTCTTATCAAAATTGAAAATGCATGGCAAACAGATGACCATACAGAGAGGTAAAGAAAGCAACCAAAGTGTTAAATAACTAATTACACCTTCCTCTAACTTGGCATTTCACTTTCAAACAACTCTGGGTTTTGGTGCCAATGCATTATTTTGTATACAAATTTCCTTATTCCATTGTGTTTTAAATTCTCCCCTCTAAATTACATCTTTCTCTACAGCTACCGTTTTTCTCATCTACAATACTTATTTTTCCAGGAACCTATAATATAAAAGCACTCCTTTTTAATAGGTTCATCACATTCTACTTAATCTATTATATGAATTGAGAATCATTGAGACGTGCTCATTTATACTACATGTATTGTATAATTTCTATTTTATATGTATGTCTATATTTTTTGTACAATGTGGAACAATAAAAACTTGAACTTGAAAATGAGAAATATAGCCATCAATAGTGTTGGCTAAAAAATCATAACAATAACAGTGGTGGGTTCGGGATCATTATACAGGAGTGAGAGGGGTGTAAGTGGGCATACATGCATTTATTAATTTTTGAAAAGGAAAAAAAAAATTATTGATATTGATAGAGCGGACAAAATGGCCCTAACTCTAATAATTTAATATACTTTTACGAGTTAAAAATGTATTACTATAGATTACAAAGTAATCAAAGAACAAATTGTCAATTTTGGAATTTCTTTCAGAGAGCTAAAAGGCAACAATAGTGTTCAACACTAGCTTTCAAAGAAGTGAACCATAGGTCAAACTTTTTTCTTTCTCTCGAAACTATCATAAATTTTTGGACATCCCATAGAAGCGTATGATAATTCTATAACTGTTAATTCTATGACACACATTTCAAAGGGACGTCCAAGAAGTTAGACTTATAAAGGTTTTGAAAGAAAGCCCCCTGGATCCTTACCTGAGTGTGTACATCTAGATCTTCAAATTGGCTCTCAAATTTTTCCATGATACCTGAAATCTGTCAAGGAAAGAAAACAAACATTAAAAAAAAATCTGCAACTATACTGGCTATAGAGTAGTAGCTTGGCAGCGTGATGAATATATATAAATAAGAACTTTGTCTTGTGCTCGTACATTAAAGCTATAAGGAGATAAATCTGATGACATATTTTACAAAAAAAAATGAATTCATACAAAACACTGTAGCATTATTTTGTACTAGCAGGACCCGCGGAAATCTGCGGGATTCTAGAGGGAGCGGGGTGTAAATAGATATATAGAGAATGTCTAAATTAAAACCACCAAGAACGTTATTTGCCATTCAGGCCATTAAAAAATATACATGTTTAGCGTCCCCGCCCGCTTCCTTTTTTGGGGCTGCCTCCTATTTTTTTTTTTTGATTTTTGATTTTTGATTTTTTTTTTTTTTTTTTTTTGAAAGAAAAAAAACATCGTCCCCGCCTGCTTCCTTTTTGGGGGCCGCCTCCTATTTTATTTTTTTTTTTTTTTTTTTTTTTTTTTTTTTATTTATTTTTTTTTTTTTTGAAAGAAAAAAAACATGAAAAGCACTGCTAAAATGTATTTATGATTTTAAAAAAGAAAAAAAAAAATTGTCGGCCGCCATCTTGAAAAATAGCCCGAATGCCAGGGAAAATGTACGGAGCGGCCATTTTGAAAGAAAAAAAAAAAAAAAGCGCCTCCTCCTTCCCATTTTTCAAAAAAACAGGACGCTATAAGCATGTTTTTTTTTTAATTTGGCCTTATATTAAATTTAAAAAAACAATCCAACTGTACCGATAGTTATTCTTTAAGCCACTGGAACTGCGTAGAGTTCCGTAGTGTGGCGTACCGACTACGCAGAAATTAGGCTGCGTATTAATGGGAAAATAGTCCCTGCGTAGGTTATGCGTAGGCTGGCGTACAGGTTTGCTTATGGTTGCTTACTGTGTAAAGCTTTTACTGCTTAGTCGATCTGACGTAGGGTAGCGTACTGTTGCGTAAAAAGGCGGACTTTCTGCGTAAAAAGGCGTAATTTCTGCGTCAAGTTTCTACGCCGAAAGTACGCAAAAAAAATTAAACATGTTGAATTGTTTTCGTTCACCATGCGTACCCCTTTCCGTCCCTCAGCATATAGTAACGTAGGCCAGCGTTGTTGGTACGCAACACTACGCAACTCTACGTATTGACCCCACGCCAATTAGTGACCCACAAGTGTCACAAATAAAGTATTAAAAATATGCTCATCTGACCCTAATTAAACGCCTAAAACCCCCGAGCTTTCGGGGGTTTATGGCCCCTTGAAACCCGTGGACCCCACGCCTATATTATATATACACTCAACTCACTGCGATCTGATCTCTCCCCCCCCCCCCAACTTTGAAGAACGTAACCCCCGAGCTCTGGGGGTTTATGGCCCCTTGAAACCCGTGGACCCCACGCCTATATTATATATACACGCAACTCAGGACCCGTGGAAATCCGCGGGATTCTAGAGGGGGGCGCAGGCAAAGAATTAAGGTTTTCATTTCGGGGGCTCCATTTCAAATTTTTGGGAAATTTTCGGGGGCTACTTTTTCAACTTTCGGGGGCTCTTTTTTCTGGGGCTACTTTTTCATTAATTCATAAAAGAATAGGCCTACACTTTGTTGAGATTTGTTTAGTAGGCTAAGGTTTCAGGCTTCCTACTTCATAATTGCCTATTTAAAAAAACCAAACATTTTTCTAGTTCAATAACTAAGTTTTCATGCATTGATTTGATGCAAGAACTGTAACATAATAGACCCTAGATTGTGATTATTTCTGACCATGAATTTCGATAATCATTTTTCAAAGTAAAATTTTCACAAGAAAATCAGACAGTCGTTTAAAAACGTAGACATTAGTAATACTTTTACTAATTCTAAGCTCAGGTTTCGTAAATCTATTCACGAAACTATATTGAAATCGCGGCAATAATGATGCAAACCAACAGATAACAATTTCAAAGTGTCAAATCTCTTCGACTCAGCTCAGGTGAACTCACACACACTACAGCGTAACTCCAGAGCTCGAACACCGGCGCCGCAGGCGTCGGACGCCTACGGTGCGCGGTGCCGGTTAGGAGCTTCCTGCAAGCTCATTTCAACTCACACACCGCACACAGCAGCATTGCACTGTGTGTTGACTGAAGGCAGCTTGCGACTGAATTGTCAGTCCAATGGTTTTCTTGTGAAAACTTTCCTTTAGAAAATGATAATCAAAATTTAGTTAGCATGGCCGTAATAATCACAAAATAAGCTTTTATTTCATATCTCCATTCACGAAAACTATATACAAATCGCGGCATTCATGACGGAAATGGGTCTCTAAGTTTGGACGTCGACGGGAAGCCCCGCGTATCCCCCTGGCTTGTGCAGCGCTACTACAAAGGATATCCTATAGAAAGATGCTTTACTCGGGTAATCCCGACCCTGTCCATCGTGCATTTAATACGCAACTTAATGTGAGTGGATAGTCATCGGTCGTGTGTCTACGGATGCAATGTTGAATATCCATGAGGTATCTCTGTCGTCACGCATATCCTGCATTATGCATGTCGCGTCTGTTTTCGCCCTGGACGTCGACACGGAGGAGGACCTCGGGCGGAGTATAGCCAATTCGATAGAGTAGACTCTCCCGTGGACGACGGCACCGGGCACGGGTACTCCGAGGGCAGGGTTCAGGAGGAGATAGCCGCACCAACTTGGGTCGGCGATCTCATTAAAAAACAATAGAATACAAAGGCCGGCGGAGACGTCATGCCCCCCCCGCGGAGCCTTAGCGTATTACTATTATAGATTACATCTATCTTGAATTTAAAAGCAATGACATCTCTGCAACAGTTTAGGCATCCCAGTGAAATAGTCGTTTTAATGCTTTCATACAGCTATAGACCTATAGTGACATTCTTTGCCTAAAATAAGCGAGTTTGTAATTGCACATTGCGCATGCGCCAAAATCGGGAATGAACTTTTCCACAGGTCACATGAACATAAAGAGAGCTGAGAGAGGAACTGTGCTGGCCTTTCCGTTGTGAATGATCATATCTGACACATCAGTCACCGAAGCGTGACCACATTCAAAGTATGCTTAAATGGGGGCATTGGTGTATGTAGAAAAACAGGATTAAGATCCCATGCAACGCTTCGAAATGTAAAATAATATGTATCCTGTTTCGTATGTATGTTAAGTGAATAATATATATGCAACAGTAAATAATATATGCAACAGTAAATAATACATATGTAAAATTAAACGATATATATGTAGTAAAGCTACATAATATATGTAAAAGCAATATGTAAAAGTAAATAAAACCTACCTTCTGCAGATCCATGGACTGAAGAGCTTTATCCAGACCTTTGACAACTTGTCCCATGTTCTTTGAAACCTGGAAAACAGATAAATATAACAAAAATATTTGCTTTGAGTATACCAGTAAGTTCTTTTTTCTTAATATAGTCCTTGATTTTGATATCAAATATTTCTTTTGAAAATAAGACATTCATGTTATTTAACACATTACTTGCTTTAGTCAACTTATATCAGATTCTGGATAAACTGTTTGTTTGTTTTATTTATTTCAATAAGGGGATAAAAAAAAAACATGCTTTCCTCCTCAGCAAATCTGCTTTTTTTTTTTAGCAAGCTCATTATATAAAAGGAGACATTACACAAAATATCATCAAATAATTACAAATTATCTACAGAAAATAAATACACATTACAAAAGACAATTTTTTTTTTTACATGTACCGGTATATACATGTAATTTGTTTTTTAAATAGATAGTAGAGATGATAGAGATAGTAGGGAAAATAGAAGATAAAGAAGACAAACAGGTTTAACAAACAAAAAGTATCACAATCAAAATCTCTGTAAATTTTAAAAAACTCATTGGGAAGATATGTTAGAAGCGTTTGATAAAAGCCGGTAGTTTGGTTTGCTTTCTGACAGTTTGAGGTAGTTATCAATCGCCATTTTTGTTTTCTTTCATGATATTTCACATATTTATACAAACAAATTGATACCATGTTAATCTCTTTATGACTATTAATAACGGAATGAACGTCTGTTTAACATAAATGTCCGTGAGTGCGAGCTCATGTAATACATAGCATATATGGGCAAAAACATGCTCATACAAATCCATTATAGCTCTTTGGGATGCACCTGGACCCCCAATTTTTTTTCATAATGTGATAGAGTATGAGTCGGAGATATGATTTTATGTCTCATTTGGCCATTAAAAATATTCTGACGTCATCATAATGGCCTTCGAACTAAAAATACGAATTTGCATATTATGAAGTCAGCATATTTATGGAAAATTGATTGTATCTATGTAAATGTTTATCGATTTTCTTCCAAATTTTGATATGTTGTAGCTAAGACAATTCTTTACGAGCTCAAGCACCACCATTGTTCATTTTGATGAAGTCATCATAGTGAAAATTTTGATTAAAGGCCTCATGTCAGAAATTTCATAATTTGCCTGTTATGCCTATAGAAGGTGAATTTTGTTCACGTCATGAATCTACATGATATTGTTTTTTTAAACATTTTTAAGCAGTATGTCGCTTATTTTTGCTCTATTTTGTCTCAAACTTTAGTTGGACCAGCCCACCAAAATTTGTTCCAAACAAGTATTACATGTCTAGTTTTCTCTTCATTACCTATGATGAAAGATATTTCTCACCTGTTTCATGACCATGGCCGACTTTATCCTTGAAGACACCGCATCTATCCTGGACGCCATCCTAAGGAAGTTGAGAGATTCATTCTTTTTCCTGATGCAATTCTCAGCATAGATTCTAGCTCCCTCTGGGTTCTTCTGTTCCAGAGCCTGCACACAAACGCATGAGAATAAAGTTATTGTAATACACAGTCAAACAAAGGTAATTTACAGCACTGGTCAAAGTCAAAGACCTAGGGGGTGTTTCACAAAGATCCTAAGTTGAACTTATCTCTTAGTTGGACTTAACAATTACGGAAATCCGTTAGCATCATTAAAAATATTTTGTAAAAATTATTTTGAAAGGCATAAAATGTTGATTCAAATCATTCATATTTTCTTATATCTCGGGAGATATCATGTTCTTGATGTGGAATTTATGAAAAGTCTAACATACTTGAATTTTGCTTTTGAATGTATTTCATTATAAGGCTACAAATGGCTCTCCATAATATTTAAGTCTAACTTAGTGTTAAGTTCGACTTAGAATCTTTGTGAAACACCCCCCTGTACTCATACTGATTCTAGTCCAGGTTCACATGGACAAACTTTTTCCATTGATTTGTAGAATGCTAAGTGTCATCTTCATCATCACTACTACTACTTCTAGTTCTACTACTATGTCTTGATTACCCATGTTTCTCCTTAAGGGCTGTGCAATACTATTATTAACTCAGCTTTAGCCAAGCTACTATGATAAGGCACTCAAGGATTTTTTTCCTACCAGGTGCCCATTTACTCCACCTGGGTGGAGAATGGCAGTTGTAGATTAATATCTTGCCAAATGACATGAGTGCGGCAGCGGGACTCGAACCACACACCACGTGATCCACAGTCCAGCACTACCTGGAATATACAGCAGAGATTACCCATTGATATGATTTATGGATACGACTTACTTTTTTCACTTTTCCCGATTGAACTTTTTGTTCCTTCTCTGCCTTCTTTGCATATCTCTCAAGTTGTTTTGAAGAAAACTGTAGAAAAATTACAAAACAAATGATAAGCATTTACTTTCTTTTCCCCATCTTTTTTGTGAAAAATAAATCCAGTTCAATGTTACCATACTTAATCATGTTAAACTGTTACCAGTCTTAATCATGCATTTAACAAATACAGTAGCAACCTCCAAGAGGAAAGTTATATAATAGATATAATCATAGAAATCGTCTTCCTTTCTGTTTCCACCTTTTTTAAAATAAATACATTCACACTTCTTGCATCAATATTTGCTCATCTATAAAAGTGGTTATTTTTACTCAGATAGAAATTAGGTCACTCCAAGTTGCACAATCCAAAAATCTTCACAAAGATTTCACCATTCATATAAATCCAAACTGACCCAACTTTGTAGCCCCTCCTATAGTTTAGTAACTTAAAGGAATAATAAGAAAAAACATTAAAACAAAAAATCTTACCTTCAACTGGAACATAACATCTGCATTGTTGCAAGTTACAAGGATTTCCATTCAACAGGGAGATGGAAAAGAATGTTGGGAGAGAATAAAAAGGAGAGAATTAAAATCAATGTAATCTTTAATACTCATCTACATGGTAGAAAGCATTCCAATGGCTGGTGAAGTATTCTTAAAACTTGTTCTAAACATTTGGAATGACATTCTGATGTAAGATAATAGATTGATCCTGAGCAACCAGATTAACAAAAATGAAATAAATAATAAATCAAATAAATAAATGAATAAATACAATTTAAGTGAAATGTGAACTCAACTAACAATATAAACTACCGGTATCTAATATTATTGTATGACACAAATATAGCAATTTAAGATTAATATATAAGTTTTTAATTTCCCATGTTTATTTCTTTTAAACAGTTAGCACTTAGTATGCATGCTAGTGGTGTCAACATAGCAGATATCAACCTGGGGGTGTTACACAAACTGATCTTAAGTTGAACTTATCTCTAAGTTGGACTTAACAATTATGGAAAGCCATTAGCATCTAAAAGTAAAAGTTATGTTAATAATTTATAATTCAAATCATTCATATTTTCTATTAGCAAGGAAATTTCACGTTCTTGATGTGTAATTTATAAAAAGTCTAAAATACTTGAATTTGCTCTTTTTAATCTATATTTAATTTTAAGGCTACTAATGGCTCTCCATGATTTTTTAAGTCCAACTTAGAGTTAAGTTTGACTTAGGATCTTTGTGAAACACCCCCAGTCATCCCAGGGGTTTCACCATCTGACAGGATGGTTCTGAGATCATTTCACTCAGACCCTATCTCAGTAAAACAGCCAAATTTTAAATACAAGATCTTATATACACAGGATGATTAGCAATTTTGGGAATCGGGACGATCCGGAATACCGTTATAAAAAGTAAAAAGTTAACAGGATGGTTACGAGACAGGATTTAGATTAAAGTTTAGATAACAACACTAATGCATGCATATATAACAAACAATCCCTGCATCCCATGACCAAGGAAGAATTTGCAATTCAAATAAAAGGTGAAAAATTATGCCTGCTTTCATTCTAAGATTGAAAAATGAATTATGAAAATTGTAGTATCTGACCCATCATTTCTCCCCTTTTAATACTTTATATGATGTAAATTGTATACTTGTTTAAGAATATGATTAACTTTACTGCATATCACACTGAACTTGTTTAACCCTCTTTTTTTTAACCTCAGTCTCTAAGTAACATATTCATTTCCTGTATTAAGTAACACTACTACTAGTACTAGTCTATAACATTTTTCTTATAACATTTTTATTTTTCCCATTTCTTGACGTGCCTTCCAATAATGTTTTAATGTTTTAACTCTCTCATCCTCCACCTTGTTCTACTTTTTCTCCTCTTCCTTTTCTCTTTCTCTTCCTTCTTTTCCCCTTTTTCTTTCTTCTTCTTCATTCATCTTCATCATTTCACACTATACATAACTACACTTAACTTAAGTTACAGCCAATACAGGTAACTAGTCTCACACATAGCATAGTGTTGTATTATTCAGACGACAAAAGGAGAATGGACACAAAAGGGTAGTACGATTTGGTTATGTTTTACTTTCACTTCGTGTCGTCGTTTCAACGTTGCAAATATATATAGTCTTGTATAAAGACGTTATTAGATATTCCCACATCTCCCCCCAAGCTTATTATCAACAGTTCAAGAGTTCTTATTGATTTCCAAATAGTTTCAAATCCAATAAAAATCCGAAATATAATCCTGTTTAAGAGTTCACGGATATTCTCCTTAATTGTGTTCTTCGAGTCCCGAGTCCATTCCAGTTTACTATTAAACCCAAATAAACACTGTCCAAACCTTTAAAGTCTTGTTCAGTTTCAGTTCCTGCAAAGTTAATCCCTATTTTGGTATTTAAGTTTAACCCATTACATGGACAGTCGCTTTGGTGGTTTCACGAGTCGTCCAGATCGCGTTCGCGTCTCTGTCGCAGCTGTTGGTGTAGAGGCTCCCTCAGGCCGCTTCCGGTTGATCTGCTGGTTACGTTGGGAACCGGTTGAGTCGCTTTCATCAGAATCGTCAGGTCTCTCTGGATCGTTGCTCATGGATGACTCCGGCACTCTGGTCTTGGTGGGTTGACCTTGGACAGCAATCAGTGCACGGCGATTACGACGTACTGTCCCATGTTCTGTCTGGACATGGTAGGACCGTGGTTGTTGCGCTTTCTGGGTGACTTTCCCGTAGCGAGACTGATCACGGATCCACACGGAATCTCCTGGTTGTAGCTCTGGAAGCTCACGTGAGTCATGACGTCTGTTGTAGGTCATCATTTGATCTGACCTGTACTTCTCCTCTTTCTCTCTCACAGTCGTCAGGTCCGGCTGTTGTACCCGTGGCAGCAGCATGTGCGGCAAAGTAGGAACCTGAGTCTGCAATCTCCTCCCCATGAGAAGTTCACAAGGAGCTAACCCGTTTTGGAGTGGTGACGCTCGATAGCTGAGAAGGGCTAACTGGATGTCGTCGTTCTTCTTCAGCAACGCTTTCACAGTGCGAACTCCTCTTTCAGCCTCACCATTAGCTTGTGGGTATCTTGGAGAGCTGGTTGTATGGACGAATCCATACTCTTCAGCAAGCTTTCTGAAGTTCTCGTTGGCGAACTGTGGACCATTGTCTGAAACCACAAGGTCTGGAATCCCATGGACTGCAAAGATCTCCTTCAGCGAAGAAATCACTGCCATTGTTGACTGACCTTGGAGTTGTTTGACCTCAATCCACCTCGAGTAGTAGTCAACTACTATCAGGAACGATTTCCCTTTGAGTTCGAACAGGTCCATTCCAAGACGCTCCCATGGCCTTGAAGGAAAGGATGAGCTCATCAAAGGCTCGCGGACCTCTTGGCGATGGATAGCACAGGTCAAGCAGCTTGAAATCATTTCCTCCAATGATTTTGATAGACCTGGCCACCACACTGAATCTCTGGCTCTGGCCCTGCATTTGGTGATTCCCAGATGTCCTTGATGTAGCCTCTCAAGGATATCAAGTCGCAGAGCTCTCGGAATGACTATTCTCTCGTCGTAGATAAGCAAGTCCTCTACCACACTCAGGTGTCCTCTCTGCTCATAGTAGTGTTTGAGGATCGGGTTATGTGGCATGTAGTCTGGCCATCCTTGAACGCAGTAGTCTCTGATTTTTGCACATACTTCATCTGCTTTTTGTGCATTTCTGATTTCCTCAAATCTCTGCATTGTCACTGGGAGGTTGATGGCTGATGTTGATGCATATGATTCAACCTCATCTACGAAGTTGACATCATCCATTCCTGGCCTCTCTACTGGCGCTCGTGACAAGGCGTCAGCGGATGTCTGCTGTTTTCCTGGAACATACAATGTCTCTGCATCAAATCTCATCATTCTCATTCTGAAGCGTTGGAGTCGTGGAGGCATTTTCACAAGTTCTTTCGAGTTTAGAAGTGTGACCAATGGCTTGTGGTCAGTTTCCACCTCGAAATGAAGACCAAGTACATACTCGGAGAACCTCTCGCACGCCCAAGTAGCTGCCAGTGCCTCTTTTTCAATCACTGCATACCTCTGCTCAGTCTCGGTAAGCGATCGAGATGCATAGCACACTGGTCTACGATTTCCATCAGTCTGCACTTGATACAGGATTGCACCCATTCTAGTCCCGGATGCATCTGCTGCAATGACTGTTGGCAGTTCTGGATCATAATGAGCTAAGACTGCTGTCGAGACCATCATCTCTTTGATCTGTGTGAAAGATCTCTGCTGCGCTTCTCCCCAACACCACACATTGTCTTTCTTCAGGAGTTGACGAAGGGGCTCGTTGATCTCAGCTAATCCTGGGAGAAACTTTCCCACCTGGTTCACCATTCCCATGAACCTCTGTAGCTCTTTCACGCTTCGAGGAACTGGAAAATCTCGAATAGCTCTTGTTTTGCTCGGATCGACCTTGACACCAGTGTCGTCGATGAAGTGCCCTAAGAACTTCACACTCTGTTTGGAGAATTCACACTTTCCCTGATTTAGTGTGATACCTGCTTCCTGCAGACGTTGTAGAACAGCTCGTACTCTGATGTCATGTTCTGTTTGTGTTGCACCATGGACTAGCACATCATCCATGTGACAAATCACGCCGTCAAGTCCTTCGAGGATAGTGGACATCGCTCTCTGGAAGACTTCTGGCGCTGACGTTATCCCGAACGGCAATCGGTTGAAGCAAAATCTCCCAAATGGAGTGACAAAGGTTGTCAGTAGCTTTGACTCATCCTCCAATGGAATTTGCCAAAACCCGCTGTTGGCGTCCAGTTTTGTGAAGATTGTGCTCTTTCCCAGTTTTGCTAGACTTTCATCGACTGAAGACATCGGATGAATCTCTCGTTCAACTGCCTTGTTGAGAGATGTAAGGTCTACACAAATTCTCACCGAACCACTGGGCTTCAACACTGGAACCATCCCCGAACACCACTTTGTCGGCTCAGTCACTTTTGAGATCACATTTTGCTCCAACATGGACTCTAGTTCTTTCTTCACCTTCGGTAGAAGCGGATGAGGAACTTTCCTGGCTGTATACAGGCACATCGGCTTGGCATCTGAAGTTAACGTGATGTGGTATGCTGTCTTCAGTTTCCCCAAACCAGTGAAAAGTTGAGGGAACTCAGCCTTGAAGTTTGCAGTTTCATCATCACAAGAATCGACTTCCTCCACTCTGCGGACCAGATTCAAGGTTCTACACGCTTTCCTACCCAGCAATGAAGACTCCTGATCTTTGACCACATAGAGAGTCTCCTTGATCTGTTTATCTCTATGCCTGAGAGTTGATGTCATTTGTCCTATTACAGTCAGGACTGTACTTCCTGGACCACGTAACCTCTTGGTTGTTGGTCTCATGATGTGTTTATTCAGCCATGGAGTGGAATCAGACAACACAGTAACGGCTGCTCCTGTGTCTAACTTGAAGTGTGTTTCATTCCCATCTACGAGGATCGATGAACTCCAGTACGTCTGATCGTTCTCGCTGACTTCACCAAGGAAGGGGACATCAATGTCATCGAAATCATCTACTTCGCTGACTCGAGCTTTCCATTTTAGCTTTGCTGCCTCTTGTTTTCCCTGTTCTGGTTGTTTGGCTTGACACACAGACTGGAAGTGGCCCATCTTTCCACATTGATGGCACTTTGCATCTTTTGCGGGACAGTTGGCACGTGCATGATTCTGCCTTCCACACCACTTACAGTTACCCTGCGGAGTTTGAGATGTTTTCTTCGAGTACGTTCCCTTGCTCTTAGGCCTTACGTAGTTTACGGCCGAGTTAGGGCTCTCACTCTCTGCACCTCCCCTCACAACAGACTTGTTTTGTTTCCGGGCTTCTGACTGTCTACTCAATTGAACTGCTTTTGAGAGAGTTAGGTCTTCTCTAGACTGTAGTTGATCAGATAGGGAGTCATCAAGCACCCCAACTACAATTCTGTCTCTTATCAAGCCCTCCTTAAGTCTATCGTAGTCACAGTCCTCTGCTAGCCTGTACAAATCATTGATAAATGTGTCCACACTTTCTCCCGGGCGTTGTGTTCGTTTGTTGAATTTTGCCCTTTCAACAATAATGTTTTTCCGTACATTGAAATACTTCTTCAATGTTGCGATCACGTCATCATACTTTGCTGTCTCCTCTTTCACGTTGAGAGACACGATAATATCATCGGCACATTCACCCATAGCATAGAGTAGCGTACTAACCTGCTCACTGTCTGGCTTGGATGCGAGGCCCGATGCGACGCGATATCTCTCGAACCGCCGTGACCATTTTGGCCATTGTTCTGCTTGATTTAAGCCTGCAACTTTATCAAAGCTTTCTGGCAATGGTAGACGAGAACTTTCCATGGTTCTTCACTTATACCGCTGCCACCATGTTGTATTATTCAGACGACAAAAGGAGAATGGACACAAAAGGGTAGTACGATTTGGTTATGTTTTACTTTCACTTCGTGTCGTCGTTTCAACGTTGCAAATATATATAGTCTTGTATAAAGACGTTATTAGATATTCCCACACATAGCAGCATTATACTATCTAACTCTGGTTAGTCAAGACTTGGAAAGACAAGTCAAGAGTTTTTAAATTAGTCTCTCACTTAGTATGCACAGAATACACATGCATAAAAAGGTGTGTATGGGACCACATACAAATATGAATGCAAAGCTGTATTCCTGTACCTTGTATTGTAAGTGTAACAAAACGAATAAAATGTAAATCATCAGACTTTACCTTCTAATGCAGGCATCTTCAATTTTCTTTATAAAAATGACGTGAAGAAAAGATGTACTGCAATAACTGCCTGTGACAAAAAACTGCTAGATTCTCAAGTATTGTGATTTTGACTCAGATGCTATTTCTGGATAATGACAACAACTTGGAAATTTAAGAGCGCCATCTCCCGATAAAAACATTACATGTAAATGTTAATATGAGAAAATGGCGAAATCTAAAGTAGAACATGTGGTGGTGGATGCCGTGGCGTTCTTCAGACAAGTTCACTTACAGGTGAGACTGATTCATTCATGTTGTTACGAGTGAAATTTTAATATACAAAAAACAGAAAATAACGTAAGAATGGTTTTATATGTCGAGTTTGCAGACTTTAGTCTCAAGAACAATTCTTGACAGTCAAAAAGAAAACATGGATTTGCTAATGTGGGACTGCACAAAAATATAGTTCACAATTGCAAAGATTTCCAATAACTAAGTGAGTAGACCAAGTTTGAATTTAGTCAACTGGGATGAGAAAAGGGAGACGATCATTCATTAATCAAGACAATCATGGCGTGTGATGCAATAGTTGTAGTTGTTATGGCCGGGTGTGTCTGAACTTGAGCAATATACATCCCACCAAAGTGTAAGTTTCAAAGATTTACATTTAGATCTAGGGTCTATTTTAATGCAATAGGCTGCCTAATGGGAAGTCAAAATGTTAATGCATGCTTTCCACATTTTGTATTTAAAAGAAGTTTTTTTTTTTTAAGTAGAGTCTAAAATTAATAATAATAAATAATAAATAATAATAATAATATTATTAAAAGTAAAATTGTGTCATAAAGTCAAAATGAATTGTTTTGTTTCAGGATGTAGCAGAAAACGTCCACACACTACGAGCTGTGGTGAATGAGATTAGAGACAAGGCAACACGGCAGTTATTGGCCGTACTACCCTATGAGATCAAGTTCAGGGAACCCTCTACAGAATGCATACAAATAGGTAAAGGGGATTTATTTTTTTTTAACCTGAGGGTAGTATTTTCTTTAAAATGTTGTAAGTCTACCTGTAACCTCCTTTACTATCAAGAAGCTTGTGGCGACTCCAAATCTGTCATATCTTTTTTTAATGCCATCTCAAGTCAATTTTAAGTTAGTCTATTGTCAGCTAAAAAATAATAACTTAAAATTTAATTTTAAAATGCTTATCATGGCTTTGTGAAACGAGTTGTCTGCTACCTGACATCACCGTAGGTAGGTTGCGCACAATGATTCAGTTGTCTTGTACCGGCAGTTGGTTTCGTGAAATGATCTCCATGTATGTACTACAAATTTTCTTGCAACAGGACAAAATACCTTGGAATTGCTGCAAAACTAATCTTTATATCTGGCAGTGGTATTCAATTTTGTTATTGATTCTGAATTGGTTATTATGCATGAGATGAGACGAGCAAGAATGAAAATGAAGCAAAGATAATTTGCTAAATCTCTCTTCTTTTTTTTTTTTAAGCCATAACTCATTTGGATAAGGACTACTAGGAATATTTCTTTGCTCGATACTTGGCTAGTTGGCTTTTGTACATTTTGTACTCGTGTCATCTGAAAGAAAACAAGTTCCGTCATTTTGAAAATCGAGTCCAAGTTGCATTTTGATGCCATGGGATTATTTCTTCTGTCACACTCAGAACTCAATGCAAGAGTGCCTCTGAAGTAATAATTAGCCATGTCTTTCTTTGATGGATAGTGTCAGACTTTGCGAGGAAGACTGGAGATTACCAGAGCTTGTCTGCGGTGGATATCCGAGTGATCGCATTGGCTTATCAACTGACCAAGGAGTACGTCGGCGTTGACGGTCTCAAGAAACAACCTGAAACAAAGGTATGCTATTAAGGAAATAAGATGTTTATTTGCAGTGCTTGCTTGTTGGTGCATTGAAATATGTGTATCATTTTTGTATAGATTTACTGTAATTGTATAGAATGGACTGGTTGATGCTTAGCGCTCCATAAATTATTGGATTAAGTTAGACCAGGGAAGCGTTTCACAAAACCTTCACAAGTGAAAGTTCGTCTACATCCCATTCAGATATTACAATTTAACATGCATTTTAATCGGTTGTCAGTAAATTTTTACTTATGAAACGTTTTATGAAACGTTACCCAGGTTTCACTAAGTCAATTATTTACTATTTACTAAGTCAAGTACAAATGGTTCTATAATTTTATAATATTCAAAGACCTGTCTTTTATGCTCTCATCTTTTCACATTGACAGTTCAGTATATTTTCTTTGTAATGTCAACACTTTGCTTTGGGAAATTGTTATCTCAGAGCACGGTTAAATTTTGGTTGTCATTGGGTCTTTACTGAAAAGTTTGGGGGTATGTATAGTGTTGTAGTTAGGAATTCATTAGTATTGGAATTACCAACGATGTAATTGTTCCTGGATGTCATACAATTACTCACGGCAGCTGTGTGCAAAACAATAATTCATATTTGAACATCTGTGTCCTCTCCTAGATTACGTATTCGGCAAGTTCAAAGCCTCTACAGAAAGCCAAAGACATTGCTGGTTTCTATTATCCAGCCAGTAAGGTAAGACCATAGATGATCATTATGTGGAAGATGTGTAGGTTTCAAAATGGATGATGCAAACTTTTCATCTATTTTATTTTATGCATTAAATGTGGAGAAACTAGGTAAGAACTTTCTTGAGAACCAATGATACAAAATTGTATTGTGATATGGTAAATGATTTGCTTGTTTATGTAAAAAAAAATCTTCAATGAGTAGAGCTATTAGCTTCTTGAAAATATTCTTTCCCAATTGGTTTCTCCACTACTTCTTTATTTAATTTTTCTAGAATCTTCCTCGATCTGCTTCAGTTGACCTTATTTGCTGTTCCTCTCCTTCTTTTCTCTCTCAGCTTTTGTGTCTCAAATATCTTTTTCTTCTATACGATGCCTCACTAAATATTTATGTCAGTCTGTGTATCCAATATATACAAGTTATTTATGGATATATATCCTTTCAGTATTTATGGAATCTTTTCCATTTACAGAACTAATCTTTCCCCATTCTCTGTTATTCATGTTCAATTGTAAGGGACCACACCTAATATTCAAATCCATCTTGTTTCCTGATGGTCTTCTAATTCTGTACTCCTCTCCTCAGGATGCAAGCAAAGATTCCAACGCCGAGCATGATAAACCGTCCCCTGGTACCACCGAGGACAATATGAGGACAGGAGACATCCAGCTGGAGCTCAATGATCAGGTCTGCAAAGATGAGGAGGAGGATAAAGAGAAGATGGAGACGACGGTGGAGGGTGGGTGTGGGATGGAGGATGAGAGGACTTGTGATGAAGTGATGAAGGAGGAGGAAGGTGAAGCATCTGTTGATGCGGGGAAAGACTCTGAGGAAGATGAGAGGAGAATAGAGGAGGAAAACAAAATGGAAGAAAGGACAGACCAATGTGATGAAGCAGAATCCAAACCAGAGCAGAGTCAGTCAGAAGATGCAGGAATAGATGATACCTCCTGTGACATGAATGATGGTGATGAGGGCATTGTTGAGGGAGAGGAGGAGGAGGAGGACGATGACGAAGAGGATAACATTGGATGGATCACACCTCAGAACATCTCTCAAGTTCGGGAGCAGATGGCAGGAAGTGGAGAAACAAACTTGGAAGGCATCAAGGTTGGATGTATGACCACTGATTTTGCTATGCAGGTAAGAAGACAAAGAATCCAAGTGTAATCTCATTTTCAAGCTAAAAACCAAGAATGCTCAGACTCATTTGAAATGCATTTAAAGTCTATCTGCACAAGTTTGGCCCGGAGGGATTAGACCTCCCTGCATGGTCGTTTACAGGTGGTTATCATATCAAATCAGCTCTCAATTAACATAAGAAAAAGGGGACCATGGGGGACCAACGGTCACCGATTAGACATTGTTTGCTATATAGAGGGCGCAAGTAGCTATAAGTAGTGCAGTGGGGCTTTAAAGATGTAATTTAATAATGAATCAGTGTTAATGAATCGGCTGTTCCAGGAACTCTTCTAAAATAATTTATCGTCGCAGCCAGAAGCTTTCCTGACATCGCAGTGATTAGTGATAGGTAACCTACATCCAGAAGAATGAAAACAACTCATTGAAACAAATGAACATAATATGTCAGACGTAGATGTACAGGGAAAGAAGTCTTTCGATTGGGGGCTTACCGAGTACTTTGTATATTTTATACTGCCTTAAAGATATCTATTTCAATAGATTCTCTTCTTTTGCAACAAAATACTTCATATATTCTCTTTTCATCTTTTCAGAATGTTCTCATCCAGTTGGGTATCCCTGTCATCTCTGTGAATGGCATGCTCATCAAACACGCCAAGAGCTTTGTTCTACGATGTCATGATTGCTTCAAGTGAGTCCCAGTAGTCACATAGATATAGGGGATAGCAGGACAGTCTGTGTGACCAAGGACAATTAGGAGATAGTCATGTAATTGCCGGATCTTTCAATAAAAGTTTTTAGTTGTTTTAACAGAAAACAAGATGAATAAAATATATCTGATAGAGGCAATCGGCAGCACCATGGCATGTGATAGTGTCACACAAAACCACTCCACTTATAGGCCAGGGCCGGTATTCAATTCAATACTTAGCATAAGTAAGAAATTTACTAAGTAAATGGCTAAGTAAAGTAATTTACTAAGTAAATGGCTAAGTAAAGTAATTTACTTATCTCGTATTCAAATCGCATTTTAGACTTATACTTACGTAAGACAAAATCTAAGTAAAATACTTACTGATAAGCATTGTGACATCACACAGTCAATCAAAAGTAATGCGCAATTGAATTGATGCATTGCAATAAATGCGTGCTGATATAATTGTGCGCAGGTTATAATACTGCGTAAGAAAACCATATGCCTGCCAATCAAGGCCTCCAAATAATTGGCTTAAGTCTGGTATGGAGTTGGCTTAGATTTAGGGTAAAATACTTAGCCAAAAGTGTGATTTGAATACCAAAATTGGCTAAGTATTTTATCTAAACCATATAATAAGTAAAAAGCTTAAATGTTGTACTTAAGTATTGAATTGAATACAGGCCCAGATCTTCACTACCAGTATATGATACAAAGTCTCATCTTTTCTCAATATAAATTGGTCCTGTGCCCAACAGTGATATTACTAGTTTTATTATTTCAGAAATAAAAGCTTATAAATTTAACAAAATACAAGCGCTTACCTGTCCTTATGCCAGGTAAACAATGACTAGTGCATTCTGGTCAATACATGTAGAAATATCTTTGGAATATCATTCAAATTGAAGAAATTGTTTGCATATCCACATACAGCATGTAGGACTTTGATGAATATTATAAATGATAACGTTGAATCATTCCTTTTTTGCCCCTTCTTTTCAGAGTGACTCACGACATGGGGAAGGTGTTTTGTCCTAAGTGCGGCAACAAGAGTCTGGATAAGGTTACCATGACGATAGATGAGGATGGTTCTCGGAGGTATCACATGTCTAGAAGAAGACCAGTCAACACCAGGGGATTGAGGGTATGATGTCTTGGTTTCTTAAAAAATTCAAAATTCATGGATAAAATACCACCGATGACTTCATTTTCCTAATTTCCCCTAATTCAATGCTCTTGCACCTTGTTGCTCTAAGCCCTATTTTTGGTCAGCGTGACTTCCATTCACCTCCAATATATTTTCGAGATTTGCTCTTTCTCTCCCCCCCCCCCCCCTCTCATTCTTATCTCATTCATCTGTACTCTCATGGTACTTCAGTTTGCTTTGCTGTTTTTATGTTTATGTTGTTAAAATGGATTTATTGAAGAGAAGGACCTGACCGTTTACAGAAAGGGGGGAGCTGTCGATTTTCGGTTGTGCTTAAATTTTGGTGAAATTGTTTTCTTCTTGCCTTACACAGAGATGCCAACTAGTACGGATTTCCCGTAATTTCTACGAGAAATCGGCCGATTACGGGCGGTACGATTTTCATACCATAAATTCCGGATTTTGCAGATTTTGCCGATTTTCAAAATTAGCACTTTAAGGTTTAGCACGTTTAAGGTTTAGCACGTACTCTTGACTATTGCAGCGCAGCCATCCTTGAATCCATGCATAGAAATCCCACAGGGCTTCCGATTGGACAATTTGTTATCTAGCACACCCCTTTCAGTGCATACATGTGCATACAACATGTGCTTCGCGAGCGGGGGCCGGGTGAAATACCTCTCTTGGCCGCGCCGCTACCGCCCGCCCAGCGCCAGGCCTCGCTACGCTAGCGCCGTGTACACTGTCGGATTGCTCACAGGCTGTCACAGCGTTCGTCGATTTTCGTCGACAATCTGAACTCATGTTGGTTGGATTTAGATATCAATCATCATGTCTTCCACAACTAAGAAGCGTGGCAAGAAGTTACAGACTTTTAAAGAACAATACAGTAAGAAATGGAAATGCATCGTGTAACACCAACTAATGAACAGGTTTGTTACTTTTATTTAACTTGTTGTGCTATCGCGCTTGCCTGCGGGAGCTGCGCTTGCCAGCGTGCAGAAAAATTTGCGTCGCGCAGAAAATTACGGATTTTGTCTCCAAATTACGGATTTTTAGCCTTATGATTACGGATTTGTGCTCTGAAAGGTTGGCATCCCTGCTTACAATCTTGTTTGTGCTCCTCTTCTTTCCCATTAAATGAGATAAATTGAAGTCCATTAAGCGTTCTTTACCAACGGCCCTTCTATTGGAGTGTGTGACAGAGAAATGGTGTGGGGTCGGATAAAAGGGGATATTAAGATTCATTTGACTCTTTGCTTATGACTTTACATTTTCATTTTTGTTCTTCTTTAACTTTTGGTTAACTTACACATAATTTGCTCTCCAAAAACCTCTAGGAGGCAAGTGTATATGCATTATGATTGGTACGATTCTTATATAACTGTTAGAAATTTGTTTTGTCCTATCGCGCAGTATAACCTGCCCAAACCTCAAGGCGGCAAGCACACATCCAACCCCATCCTCTACGCGGACCAGAGGATACCTCAGAACAGAGAGGCACGCAAGGGCAACAAGAAGACCAACGTATTTGATCCCGACTTTGATGCCATGGGTTCACCATTTGCGACGCACGATGTGACCAGTCGGTCCGCACTGCTGGGTGTCCGACAGCTCGGGGGTCAGGGGTCGGGGAGCAGGAGGAATCCCAACGAGAATAGACGGCAGAGTAAGAAGGGAAAGAGGAGATGAAGCGATGTTAGCATGACCAGATATCATCGTGATATATTTCAGTAGTTATTAACAAAGTTATATGGAATAAAAACTCACTTAAAGCCACACTGTCCTACTTGTAGCTACTTGCTCCCTCTTTATAGAAAACAATGCCTAATCAGTGACCATTGGTCCCCCATGATCCTCTTTTTCTTATGTCAATTGAGAGCTGAGTTCATAGATAACCACCTGTCCAGTGACCTTGCAGGGCGGTCTTATCCCTTCTATAAACTACCGGTAGTACAGATAAGCTTTAAACAACACATCCAGGCTCTTATAAAAGTCATCTTTGGGTTTACATTTTCATAATTTTTCAATTGATTGAAGAATAAGTATACATGAGCTTTATATATAGCTTTACAATATTTCTTTTCATTAATAATGAGGTATCTTCATTGAATTTTGAATATTTTTCAGATGGAAATCATGAATAATATTTATATAAAGCAGAGAAAGGATTGTAGTATTGTACTGATTGACACATATTGAAGTGGGCATTGTAATCAGTGTTTGGGATTGTGAATGAATCCAGAGTCTGAATTTTACATGAGTAAATGTATCAAGAAGATTGTAACTCTTCTTCACTTCTCTATGTCGTCATGTGACCAGCAATGAGCCAATCATTTAGTTACGTTTCTTCCTTTATGGGTCTATTTTGATTCCTGAAATAGAATACTAGCTTCAAGTCTCAACCAGCTTTGAGCCTTGGTTGTGTCATGCCGTAACCATACGGCTCTGTAGTGTAGGGGCCTGATATTATAGACCCTGAATTAATAATGGACAATAACTAGTTGTGCCTAAATTAGTCAAAGATGATTGGGAAAATGCGTAGTAAAAATACCTCTTGAATGTTGATCGCAATGTACAAGAATTAAGTATAATTTGAGCCAAGAGATGCAGTCACATTTTTCTTGTCCTATATAAAATGAGATACATAACCTAATTCTGCTAAAATGTGTATGTGTAATTATTCACCTTTAATAATGATTATTTTTCTGAGACAGTGTGTGTCGAGCAAAATACATACGGTATATGGTAATAGAAGGAAAGGTGATGAAGTGTGAATAAATTGTACGAGAGAATATGATATTTCAAGGAAGAATATGAAGGTGAAATAAAAGTATGAGAGCAAGGGAGAGAGAGAGGGGGTGGTAGAGAGACGAAAAGAGAAGAGAGTTAATAGTTTGAGAGAAACATATGAACTATATAATGTGTGTTGGATCAAATGAGGAGTACCATATCAAAATTATGAAGGAAAGTGAAAATGTAAGACAGAGAGAGATAAAGAATTGAAAGAGAGCAAGAACTTTTAAGGTGTAAAAGTGTAAAAGTAATGAAGAGGGAAAATTGAAAATCGTGAAGATTAGTTACTGAATAATATTTGGGGGAAAAAATAATAATAAAGAAACAAAGAAAAGGAAAGGAAGGGAGGAAAGTAAAGAAAAAACAGATGCTGACTTCATTTCATAAATTTTATTCATTTCATGAAATTATCTTTATAATCTTTCGGGAAAGATAGGCTTAATATTTCTTGATATTTACTAATATTGCAGGAATCAAAATAATTAAGGAGGCATTTTTTTTTTACTCAGCACCCCCCTTCCCTTGTGCCAAAAAAATGAGGGGTGTGTTTAACCCGCAAAACACCCCCCCCCCCCCCCCCCCTGCGTACGCGCCTGATCTCAATTGCGTATGGTACTCTAAGATTTAATAAAAGCAACAACCAAAAAAAAAAAAAAAAAATTACCTCCCCAAACTGCTTACTGGCATATAGGTTTCCTCGATCCCAAATTTTAATTTTATCGATTGTTGACAAATTTGGGGTTCTTGGTTGAGTGAAACCCTGTAATATCAAGCTCTTTGCTTATATACGCACTCAAAATTAATAGTTAGAGCAATAATGAAAGTGATTATAATAATAATAGTAGGCCTAATAGTAATAATAACTTCTGGATTGATGAATATGAATATTTCTTGATATTATGAAATACATTTAATAGTCAAGTTTGTCATCTTTGTTAAACAAACAGTTCTGCCGATTTAGTCTGCCTGTAAAATATATATAGCTGGGAAAATAGGGTTAGGTATCGTGTTAATAGCAGATGGTTCAAGGTTAAAATCACAGATACTGAATATAATTATGTCTCAGAGCGTATATTCTAAATTAATATGTACGGAAATGTGTCGAGCTCTATACATACCTACTCTATATAGTTTTGGTGGCCACATAATATATTCGACCTAGGCCTATGCATATTATATTGAAATATGCTGCCAACTGTAATACTGTTAATAGTTTCAAACAACAGACTGAGTATATTTGGTCGACATAAAGAAGTTCAAATTTGGTTGATTCACTGAGGACATGTTTTGTGCAATAGTTGGTAAAGTTTAGTTTAGGCACAATAGGGCTTATCCTATGACTACTAAAAATAATTGACAATGTATTAATCAGTACAAACGTAATAACATAAAATACCTATTTTTCGTCAAATTATCGAAAAAATGATGCTTTAGGGTAATCAGATATGCTTCCTTGATGTAGTGTATACGGCAGGGAAAAAATGGAGATAGGAGAGAGAGAGAGAGAGTATGTCAACTTTGGTCCGTTTCACTTTAAAATGCAACAATTTCCCACCCTATGAAGGGGCAAGGAGTAAACCCCCTCCCAGTGGCGGCCGAGCGACTTCCAAAGTGGGAGGGGGGCATGAAGAACAAAAGGGCACTTTCTGGAAAAAAGGGCACCTACAAAGGGAAATCTCAAAGCGGAAATATACAATTTTTTTTAGACATTGGTATATACCCCTACATTGTGATTACAATTATCAGGGATGATTTCAATATTTTTTTCACTTTATACACAATACAAGAAATTGCTTAAGCACCATGCTTTGCAGTTGGGTTTGATTGTCTAAAAAAATGTTTGCGAGCGAGCGAGGAAAAATTTTAAGATGTGTGAGGTCGCAGTGCGAAAAATTACATCTTATAAAGAGGAAAAAGCCCAATCCTAATGGGGTTATAAGCACATTCTCATAACGGAAGACTGAACAGACCTTTGATAAGTAACATAAGTATATCATCTATAGATGCGTGCGAGCGTAGCTGGCGAGCTTTGGGGGAAATTCTTCTTAGTCGCTTGAAATTAGCTATTGCGCGTTTAATAATGAGAGGAATTGGGGACACTTATCAGGAAAGAAAAGGAGCATGTGCCAAAGTACAAAGAGTAATTATCAGAGGTGAAAATGGGGCACTTCTTATACCCTCAAAAAGAGGCACTCACCAGGGATGAAAAAAAGTCATTCATGAGAATAGGAAATGGGCATTTGTCGACGGAAAGGGGGCCCCCATCAGAGGTGAAAAGAGGCACTTATCGCACCTGAAAAGGTACAATGACTAGATCTGAAAAGGGACACTTATGTGGAGGAAAAAAGGGCACTTGAAATAAAGGAAAATGTGCATTAGTTAAAAAGTTTTAAAATGGGCACCGATCAGATTTTAAAGGGGCATTTATCGGAGGTGAAGGGGGCACTTATCTCAAGTGAAAAGGAGAAACTTCTCGTACCTGAAAAGGGTCATTTACCAGAGAAGGGGCATTTATGAGAAGGGGAAGGGGCTCTTTTTTAATGGGGTACTTATCATTAGGTAAAGGGGCACTTGTAAGAAAGGGAAAAGAGCACACGTGAAAATTTAAGGTGCGCTTACCCGAGTTACAATGGGGGTAGTTATTAATAGGGAAAGGGGCACTTCTTATATAGGAAAAGGGCACTTGTCAAAGTAAAAGAGGCACCTCTCAGATTTTTATCAGAAGTGAAGGGGGCACTTATCAAAAGTGAAAAGAGACACTTCTCGTACCTAACTAGGGAGCACTTACTAGAGATTATAAAGGGCACTTATGAGAATAGAAAATGGACATTTATTGCAAAGAAAATTGGAACTTGTCGAAGGAAAATGGGCACGTGTCCAAATGAAAGTGGCACTCATCATAGTTGAAAAGGGGAAGGGGCACTTTTACAAATTAATAGGGGCACTTGTCAAAGTAAAAGGGGCTCTATTACTATGTAAAAAGGGCTCTATTACTATGTAAAAAGGGGCACTTCTTAAAAATTAAAAATGGGCACTTTTCCAATGTAAAAGGGGGCACTTTTCGGGTGGTTGAAAAAGTGGGGTCACTGGGCCTCCTTCCCCCTTCCCGGCCTGGTCAATCTGATCCGTCAAATTTTGACAGCCCGTTTTTTTTTTACCGGGGTGCCGTACGGTGCCGCAAAACGGCTCTATAAGGGTGCATCAGAGAAAGTTTGGTCGTAAGTGTTGCTAGAATAACGGTGATTTTATGAAAACCCGGAAACCTTTAAAAACTAGTGTGTAGTTTCACAAGGAAATGAAATTTTGAAGAAAATAAAGAATCTATATCTAAGTTTCTCGTTCGCCTTACTTTCTCGCAACGTTTAGAAACAACAGGGTATCTTGGCAGGCAGCCTGCAAGTGCCTTCGTATGTGTCATTGCATGTGGGCAACGAGGTGCCCCAATATCCCTCTAATTATATGGAAGCAAGCGCGGTACCCAAATATATCTGAAATCATAGAGATATATACTAACACTTAAGTATATATCTCTATGTCTGAAATGCATATCTTTTACCGAAATTACATTTTACCCGGCGCTAGCTGGAGCATAATTCGCTTTAATTACTCTTGCAACATTTGCAGGATGACTCCGGGCAATGAGGTGGCCAAATACCCCGTCATATTCATGTATCGAGGTTACCGAATATATAATTTTTGGATGCATGCATATTTCTCAGCGAGGTGCCCGTATTTCTTATCTAATGTCTTAATCACAAAAATTACTGTTTATGCGTTGAAACAAAAACTGCCTTTTGGGGGCTGATACGATTCGCTCGTTCGCACAATTTAGAATCAATTATGCCAGTTCCTGTGTACGTGGTAATGACGATTGCAGATTGATGTTTTTGTTATTTTTGGAATTGGTATAACGCAAAGCTATTTATTTCTGAAAAGGGTGCAGGACTAAAAAAACGAATGAAATATGGTTCAAAAACACTATCTACTAATTAGTATACTAGACTACTGGTGCCCCCCTACCCCATGACTCCACTTGTCATCAACTCCACTTGTTTTCCTCTTGTGCTTTACTCTCTCTACGCATTAGTCTAGTTCCTGTATTATTTAGTAGTTATTACAACTGTCTTTTTGTGAAAACTTTCACAACTACTAGGATAATGGTAGAAATTCCACACAAATTCCCCGAGATGGATTTTGGCCTGGCTCTAACCTCTGACATCTCAAATTAGGCTTTACAGACAGACTTTTCTGAACAGCATTGTCACGATGCACGTAATATTACGTACGCATTATATTTTCATTGCTGAAAAGAACGACTGGGGCGCCCATGTAATGACATGACGCAGATATGATAATAGACAATCTGTGTGAAGCGTCGAAAAGAAAGGGGCAATCGTTTATTTTCCTGACTTTTCGTCCAAAGTTAGGGTTCAATTTACACAAATGATCCACTGGCATATATGTTAACTACCATACCGTGGAATTAGTCGCAGAATAACATCAGAAGCAGTGGGAAAATGGAGCCAAGACCTATTAATATGCGAGGATCCGAACGTAAACCCGAAACTCAAGACCGACTTCGTGTTACGAGAAGTCGAACAGCAGCAGCAGCAGCGGCGAGTGTGAGAAATTCAGGCGCAACAGCTACATCAAGTGTTCCGTTGTCGAACATAACTGCAAGTACAACTTCAAGTAGATCGACAAATACAAACATTGGAAATGAATCCACAAGACCAAGGAAACGAGTTAAACTGAACAATCCTTCATTTTCCAAGAATGTCTTCTTGGGTGTTCGTAGTTCTCAACTTGGAAAGCGGCCGGTCAGATCTGCCACAGAGGTTCGGGGATTTCTACTTATTTTCATTAATTAATGATAATTGATGTTTGATTCTAATTTCAATCAGTGAATGAGTGATTGATGAACAAACCCTATTAACATCGCTCATTGATCTGTGAATGTTTGTGAAATTGTTTGATAAATTTGTGTTGAAAAGTTGAACTGTGTTGTGATCAGTAGGGGCTGGTCCGGGAATGAGGATCGTCCGCATAAACGAGGATATCCCTTTAAATGCAGACAGATTTTGTTTCATTGGCGCTCTCCCGAACTGCGCGCTGGCGATGCAAAAAATGGATTCTAAGTAAGAAAATAACCCCAGTTTACTGTCTACTTTCATGGGTTGTCCGTTTTCCGAGTTTATCGCTCATAATGAGGAAGTCTCTGTACAAAGTCAATGTAAAATGCATGGAGAAAATCATTGCAGAATCCATTGCCAACGCGCCATCGCCAACGCGCAGATCAGAAATGTGAAATGTCTGTGAAAATGCGGATGATCCTTATTTTCACAGACGCGTCTGTCCGTGTTTACAAAGACAATCCTCGTTTATGCGGACGATCCTAATCCCCGGACAAGCGCCCCTACTGGTTATCTGAGCAAATCTCTTCATAAATCCTAACTCCAGGGAGCTCCGACATCGCTTCTGAAAACAATTAAAAAAGCGGGTTGGGTCACATTTTTTCGCAATGTAAAGAGGTAGTAATTAAAATTTTGACTTATGATGCTTTTCGACTCCTCTGGGCATCTTTCCAACCACTTAAAATTGTAATTTGAAGAAGTCTTTGATGTGTAAAATCAAGAAGGGTACGATCCGATTCTGCCAAGTGTGCAAAGCGGAAGAGGAGGACATCACACACTTCATAGCCAAGTGCAAACCACTCAGGAATCATCGCCAGAAGCTGGTCGACAATCTCCACCACAGGGGCGTACAGCAGTCGACACTCGCTCTATTTAGTCCAGATGACCCTGAGACCTTCACGCAGGCAGTCCTACTTCCGAATGTTCTAACTGTCTGCCCTAACCAAAAGAACCTTCTTATTAATGCATCACTGTAATTTTTATACAATATCCACTCTGCTCGTGCTAATGCAATCGCTAATACACTTTCTACCTGACATGACAATCCTGCCTGCTATGACAAACTGCAGTACCCTGGAAGCTGCTGATCTCCGATAGAGCGGAGGAAGAAGAATAAGAAGAAGATGGGAAAAAAATTGATTCTTCGTCCTAACCGGACGATTCATCCATGTTGTATCATCGATTCAACATGGCGAGGAGACAGAACGCATGCGCGGTAGCGGTGCAGCAAATAAGAATATTTATATTATAGAGCGCCGTTCACTCAAAATTGCTGAATATGCATGAATCGAAGAGACGAGGCCCTTCTCAACCTCTTGCATATTCAGCAATTTCGAGCGCACGGCGCTCTATATCATGAATATTCATATTTGCTCCGTCGCTACCGCGCATGCGTTTTTTCTCTTCGCCATGTTGAATCAACGATACAAGATGGATGTATTGTAGGGTTATGACGAAGAATCACCCTTTTTCCCATCAAAGACTTCTTCAAATTATAATTTCAAGTGGTTGGAAAGATGGGAGTTCGCTTAATTCAGCTAACTCTGTGCATGCGCCTTCGTACATGTACATGTATGCTAAAGTCAGTGCTGAAAATTGCAGGATGAATGTATTTCTGTCTCCTTCAATCTGTAAGAATCTTTTTAAGGCAGTTTGTTGAACTTTTTGTTTCGTTTCATATATTGGATTGGGATGCTGAAACATGTCCATGTACTGTACATGTAGGGCAACAATCCTGATGAATTGATTGATGATTGATACCCGTGCACTTTTCTTTATTACTCTGCTTTAATACGGTGTATATCAGTATTTAAACTTTAAAAGAATATTCAACAAAAGATATCAAATTAACTGCACAAACGGGTGAAGTCCGGTGTGATTACATGTACAGTGAGTACAGTACATGTTCTAGGAATGATAGGAATCTCTTTCCTCCTACAGAATATCTTTGTGTGAAGAAAGCTTTTATGCATTGCATTATTAAAGTGATGTAACTACATACAAGAGATGTACCTACAGTTCTGTATATCATGTACATGTAGGTACATGGCTAATTTTATGGGTGATGTTAAAAGTAAAGTTCTGGCATGATACAAAAAAAGTGACAAGTAAATGTTGTGTAGTACACAGAATACTGTGTAATGAATTACAAGTAGATTACTTGGTGAAAGTTGCTAGTGAATGCTCCTTCTTGTAACATTGAATGGTTTCGGTAAAGTCTCCCACAAAGATACAACATTCATACAGGTCTATTGTACCCAACACCAGTAGGCATTACAAGGAAGTATTAAATACAAGGTGAAAATTGAAAGTGAATGCTCCCTGTAACATTGAATGTTTTCAGTAAAGTCTCCCACAAAGATACAACATTCATACAGGTCTATTGTACCCAACACCAGTAGACATTACAAGGAAGTATTAAATACAATGTGGAAATTGAAAGTGAATGCTCCCTGTAACATTGAATGTTTTCAGTAAAGTCTCCCACAAAGATACAACATTCATACAGGTCTATTGTACCCAACACCAGAAGCATTACAAGGAAGTATTAAATACAAGGTGAAAATTGCAAGTGCAAGTGAATGCTCCCTGTAACATTGAATGTTTCAGTAAAGTCTCCCACAAAGATACAACAAGTGTACATGTAGGTCAAGCGTAAAAGGGCAATCCAACCCTTGTAATAAGTTCATTTGTATGAGAGCAGGAAAATAAGGTACACAGAATGGTGAAAGTTTAAAATCAATTCGACCCAAAATAAGAAGTTATTCATATGTTCGAAATATTAGATCGCTAAGTCTATGTGAAGCTCAAATTGGCATTTTGGTCAGTGTATTTTGACATCTTGGATAACTACCCCATTAGTCGTTTACAAAAATATAATTGATTTATGTTTTTCTCCTAAGTGCCTTCTGCCTGGGGGCACTACTCAAAATATATTATGAATAGTAATGTTAGTGGTTTTCTAAAGAGAAAATACTCTACTGAGTCATACAATTTTACATTTTCATAAATAGAATTTTTCAGTAATTGTGTGTGTTGGAAGAAATGGAAAGTTGTCTGTCACTACATCACAGAGACATCACCAATTCAGGCAAAATGAAGATCCCATACATGTGCCAATGGTGATGACAACTTTTAAAAAAAATTGTCTCACTCATCTTTATTCAAACTTTCACCAGTGTACTTCTCTAGATTTTTCTATTTTCCTCTTGAATAGTTTGTTATCATGGTTGGCTCCCCCCCCCCCAAAAAAAAAGGAAAGGGGGATGTTATGGAATAGAATATATACCGGTACATAGTATGATTCCCTTTCTGCTCTTGTTATTTTTGCCCAAATAGATACATCTACTAATTCCTTATCAATTTATTTCATATATTTCCCGTTTTTTTTTCTTCATCAAAAGCACTCTGAAACACAGTTTTGAATTAGAACTTCCCAACTTCCTTTCCATAGCTTCCTCGTGAGCTCCTGATGACGTGCGAGAGCAGGATCGGTCTTCAGGCTTCCTCCGGCACTCCGTCTCCTGCTACCATCCCCGTCATCGCCGCTGAACTCTCTGAAGCATCCAGGAGTCTGTTGAACACCAACCCAGAGTTACAGCAGTACTACCTCTGTCTCAAGCTACTCAAGGTTAGATCATCGACAAGTTGCTGGAAAAAAATTTGATGTATTTTGTTGTTGTTTTGTTTGCTAGTTAAGGTCACATAATCTCTGCTAGTTAAGGTCACATAAATTATGATAAAATTTGAGGCATCAGTTATTTTTCATGGGGAGGGGGGGGGGGGGGGGGGGAGAGGGGCATCTCTCAGCTTATACAGTGTATAGTATACTGCGATGTGCCACTCTAATGGGCCACTTTTTCACCAAAAATATCCCTAAAGATGGTGTATGATTTTGTGCTGGAAAATCCCTACAAATGGCCCCACTTTTAGATCTTTGCTTTAAACATTGGATTCTAATTTCTTCAATATGATGCTTTAAAAAAAAATTTTTTGTGTGTGTTTGCATTCAAAGACCTCACGTTTTCTGCCAAACAAAGCAATTTGCTTCCATTACAACTTCAAAGATATTGTTCTGGATTGAAAAGTATATTTCATATTGCAGTTGCAAGCAGTTAGATGTACAATTAAACCACTTTCACACTTTACCCTAAATAAAGTAAAGTAATGACATTAAAGTTCTTATAATGGTTTCAGATTAGTTTTCACAGTAATAAAAGAAGAGCTTACATTTTTAAAGTAATAACATTGAAGTTCTTTTAATGGTTTCAGATTAATTTTCACAGTAATAAAAAAAAGAGCTTATATTTTTTTGTACATGGACTGATCAAGACAACATTACATGATAAGTTATGAATGCCAAATGATTTTAGTTAAACAAAAATATGTATATAAGTATATGGTCTTTTGATAAGCTAGAAGCGTATGAGCTGTATGAAACACATAAGTTGGCACCCTTCCAGAACTCAACAGACAGAATATATTCTGCAATATGTGCAAATATTTTCAGTGACTTTTATTTCTAGTGTGTTTTTGTTCATTTGTTTGTGTTTTGCTGGTCTCTTGATACTCAACGATGCAGAGTTACATGTACATGAAGCCATTTTTCTCTTCAAATGCAAGAACTTGACAATTAAGACTAGCTTGAGGTCTCTCGTGTACAGTACATGTTATTACATGCTTTGCACGCACGCCGATAGGTGAAGCCTGTGTTTGGTGCACACATGTAATTCATAATGCAGTTAGTAATAAGGGAATTGAGGATTCAGACTTTGTGTGCATTATCATAGTTGTTTTGAATATTTTCCCCTTGTTTATCTTGTATCTCCAGAAAATAACGCAGAGGCTCATGCTTGAGTCAACGGTAGAGTACCCAGCTGACAGTGGCAAATTCAAGGAAAGCAAGACTATTAATGCAGAAATATTCTTACTCTTTGGAGGTGTCGAGGTAAGTCTAATTATTTTACAGGGAACTCACATACATGTATTCGATATCAAGGCACTTACATTAAAAAGAAAGTGGAAACTGCAAAATATTAGGTTTATGAATTTTCGGTGAAAACAAAATTATGTTATGAAAGGAGTGTTTCTTCATAAGAAGAGATTTCTGAAGATTTGAATATAATCTTAAATTGGTAAATAAAGTGATGTTATATACCACTTTTCTATTGTTTTTCTCCCAAGATAACAGACATTAACTGTTATACTGTATTACCCTTAAAGGAGCTACACAAAGAAAATTCACTAACAACGCATAATTAGAACAAATTACAATGTACATATGGATGGAAAGATTTTCTCTTGAAAAACACGAACAATTTGCTGAGAAATCTTATAGATATGGCGTGAAAAGGCGTAAAATGCAATTTTTCAAGACCCTCCTAAGACCCCGAACGCCCCTGAACGTGATTCAAACGCACAAGCCTAGCGAGCTCTGAATTGTGACGTCACACACTGGACGAACAGCTCAGTGCCGTGTAGCAGTATGCAGCTAGCCAGCCGTGTCCGTATGTGACGTCACAAATATTGACGCTCTACAAAGGACCGCTGAAGGCAGAAAATCTGGATCTCAAAACTAACATTTTTGAGAGTTGATTACTGCAAGCCCCAAACATATTTTGAAGAGAAGAGTTGCTGTATTTGATCGGCAAGGCTTCCCCTTCGCAGTGATATGAGTTTTGCATCAATTCAAAACACTTTTGATTCTTCGTGTGGCTACTTTAAAAGAATTTCCATCACACACCATCTATACACCTGTATACATGTAATATGGGTAACCTGTTGTGGTTTGTTTTGTGAAATTATAATTTTTTCCTCCATAAAAAAGAAAATGTATGAGTATTTTATGTTCTATTTTTTTAATGATGAATTAAATCTGAAACATTTTTTAAGTGTGTGGGTAATTCCAGAGATTAGGGACCTACTTTGTTTACATTTTTGTTTTCCCACTTACATGTAGATAAGGAACCCACACATATTTGTGGCTCTGAGTAAAGACTTAAATAGAGGAGTGAGATTGTTAAGTGATTCTAGGTATGAGGTGCAATATTATGCTTGGAAATCACTTAACAATCTCACTCCACTATTTACATGTAAGTCTTTACTCAGCGCCACAAATATGTGTGGGTTCCTTATGTAAGTGGGACATCATAACTGTCACAAAGTGCGTACCTAATGTATGGAATTACCCATATATGTCAAAATCTAAGTATACGTATGTTGATATACATGTACATATCTTAAGGATTACATTATCATATTTCCCGTCTATGGGCGTGACACTGACAGGCACCGGGATTACATGAGCCCTTAGAATCTATGTCAGGACCCCCACATTGAAAAAGAATTAATCCAGGGCTCATGCATACAAACTCTTAAAGTAGCCACACGAAGAATCATATCATTGCGAAGGGGAAGCCTTGTCGATCAAATACAATAACTCTTCTCTTCAAAATATGTTTGGGGCCCGCAGTAATCAACTCTCAAAAATGTTAGTTTTGAGATCCAGATTTTCTGCCTTCAGCGGTCCTTTGTAGAACGTCAATATTTGTGACGTCAAATACGGGACATGGCTGGCTAGCTGCATACTGCTACACGGCACTGAGCTGTTCGTCCAGTGTGTGACGTCACTATTCAGAGCTCGCTACGCTTGTGTGTTTGACTTACGTTCAGGGGCGTTCGGGGGTCTAAGGAGGGTCTTGAAAAATTGCATTTTACGCCTTTCCATGATATCTATATGATTTCTCAGCAAATTGTTCGTGTTTTTCAAGAGAAAATCTTTCCATCCATATGTAATTTGTTCTAATTATGAGTTGTTAGTGAATTTTCTTTGTGTAGCTCCTTTAAAAGTTTAATTTGGGCCCTTTTCCAACATTAGTTCGTCTCGAGTCCTGATATTTGCTTGAAGATGTTTTTTTAATCGTGATATTATTTTACCAATCCAGGTCACTGTTGATCTTCTCCTTCAACCACACTTCTACAAGATAAAAGAGAAGAAATGTGTGAAAAGCAATGAATCTAAACCTGCTGAAGGACCTTCACCAAGCGGTGACACCCCAGCAACATCTACCACAACCACTCCTGAAGCATCACCAGCAACAGCAACAACATCAGCAGCAACATCAGCAGCAGCAACATCCACAACTCCAGCTGTGGCTGAGGCTCGAGCTGGAGCTGGAGCTGGAGCTGGAGCAACAGGCCAGGACAACACACCGTCGACTTCATCAGCAACCGCATCATCAGCGACGGCATCAGCATCGTCAACGACCGCATCATCGTCGTCATCATCGGTCACGACGTCGGCATCGGCCACCCAGCAGGGACCAGGAACGTTCCAGATTCGTCTGGTGCGAGAGACCTACATGCCTGGCAGTTTAGGACACCCAGCATCACAAGGTACAATGACCAGGGGAAAAAATACATGAGGGCTCAGGGCGAATTAGCCCCCAAAATGCCAAAAAGAGCCCCCGAAAGTCATGAAAGAGCCCCCCAAAATTTGCATAGAGTTCAATGCAAAACAAATTAAAGAGTGTTATTTTCATGCAAGCAAGCTTGTAAAGTAGCCCCCAGAATTGTTCAAGTATTTTATTCTCTGACAATGACAAATATTATGTGCATGGGAGCAAAGAGTGACCTAGCTCTTAAGTATACTGTACCGTAAATCTTCTTGTATAAGATGCACTTTTTTTCTCCTGCAAAAATTCGAAAGTTGGGGGTGCGTCTTATAGACAGGTACAGGATATTTCGAGTCCTCAAAATGCCACTTTTTAGTCGTTTTTTGAAGTCTCCTATTTATGCTCCTTCACCTAGCATTGTGCCAGCTGACGCTCACCCGTGCCGGGAAGAGCAAATGGCATGGTCCCGGCTCACTCACATGCAGGATGTTGACTCACCACTCGCAAACTAGATCCAAACTGGCCTCTGTCCGACTTTCCGTTGGACTCTGAGGAAAATTTGTTCGCATCTTTAGTTTTAAAAACGACATTGTTACTATTAAATATTATTTGTGACAAGTTCACAAGCTCAAATCGGCGCCTTCAACTTCGTAGCGAAATGAAGGTCCTTCCCTGCTTGGCTTTTCAAACATACTGACCTGGCTTGTTGCCTACGGAGTCGGCAAAAAAAAAAAAAAAAAAAATGAATATATGTATATTTCTTTTTCTACTTGGTTTTGTCTTAAAAACAGGGGCGCATCTTATACACATGTGCGTCGTCTTATACACAGAGATTTACGGTAGCTTACTCTCCTGTACACTCGTACACAAGTATTTGAATGACTGTGGTCATGGTGATGAGAGAGGGGGGGGGGTGAACTTTGGTGATGATGAGGATGGTACTAAAAGATATAGATGGTAGTGATGTTAATTATTGATGATGAGAATAAAGAAGATTGTTATGAGTAAATGTATGTCACCATTTGCTGATGGATTAGAATTACATACAGGGGAGAGAGCATGACATTTCTTTCTTTTCCTGGCATCAATGTGACTCAGTTCAAATCTAACTATGACCGGGGTAATAATATGATTGCAGGGCCCTCAGGGAGAACAGTATGAATACTGATGAGGCTACCCTGGGTAAACAAGACATATTATTATTATTATTATTATTATTATTAACTGTTGTGTATTTACGGTTTCTTGATTTTGTCTTTGCCACATACAACTTAATAGTAATAACATTTTGATATTTTTGGTAAAACTTCATATTCTATGTCTTCTTTCTTTTCTTTCTGCAACCTTCAGATCCACAAAAAGTTCTGAGACATAAGATAGCTTACAATGCAATGGATCTCCTTCACTACATGTGTCAAAATGTAAGTATGAACACATTTTGTATACCTACATCTTCATGCAATAGTGTACTCCGCTTAGTGAGTTTTTAGAATATCGACTTGGAGGTCTAGTAGTGCCCAATTAACTTGAGGACTAAAAGAGCAAGTTAACAGGAAAGTTAAGTGAGCATTCAGAATACCGCCCCAGGTGTGAACATGTTTGATGATCATATAATAATAATAATCATAATACAAACGGTGTTTATAAAGCGCTTACCGCCGAAGTGTCTCAGCTTTTTTGTTGTTTTCTATTCCTAGTAGTGCTTCAAAGCACAAATGAATCTGTGTATTCATTTCAGTCGTACATCAACAGATTTCCATGTATCTATGTCTACTGAAAAGTGATAAACATATGAAGACAAGAAAAGGGATAAAACGGTTTCAAATAGTGCCTGAAAGAATTTTCTACCATGACTGTTGAGTCTTGTTCCCATAGGACACAGTGAACAACCTAAAATACAAAACCAAACAAACAAATTAACAAACAAAGAAAAGTGCTCAGGATTAAAGGTAAAGACCAGTTATGGTCATGTGATTGCATTGTGAAAGAAATGTTGTGGAATCGATCAGAAAAGGTTGATCATCTAGCATCTAGCATCTGCAAGGTTCTGGAATAATCAAAATCATAAGAAAATTGGCCCATTCTTCATAAAGTAACAAGCACTATACACAGAAAGATGTATATGGGACTACCCTATATCTCTCGCAGACCATGAGAGAAACAAATTTACCAAATATATGAATTAGTAGGCAGTTTCCCGTCAAATTTTTTATCATGTATTAGTCAAAACATATTCTTTCACATGATTGGTAATGAGAGCTTCCATTTCATTTTTTGAAATTGGGGCGTTTCCAATACTGGTCTTTACCTTTAATGAAATTACAAAAGCATTGTGCACCTGATATATCTTCATCTTATAAGACAAGACACAGATAATTATTATGCCTACTTGCTCGTCATTCACATGTAAAATAGCGTCTAATTTGCCACATGGCTTTATTGCTCTATATGTCAGAAACATAAGTAAATGATTATCTGTATCTTTTATTTTTAGATGGGGACTGACATGGCAACTCCTCTGTCAGACCATGATGACCTCATAGTCTATCTCTTCACCCTGCTCACGGAGAAGCAATGTTTCCTCAAAGCTGCTACACTCATAGAAGATATCCTTGGGGTTAGGACACAGATGTTCCGACTTCAGGACATCCGTAAGTCGTACTTTTGGACTGGTATTATTAGATTTATATAGTTTAATGATATCTACATGTTGTAAATTATCACCATGTGATCAAAGAGAAAGAAAGGCCAACTAACAAAAAGGAAACCACATAAATAACGATGGAAGAGCAGTTACTAGAGTAGGCTACACATAGAATCGGGTGGAGAATGTTACCGAGAAGACCAGGGCCTGTTGCACAAAACTTACCATTGATGGTAACTTTGCCATCGATGGTAACTACCATAGAAAACTTGAATTTGATTGGCTGTTGAGCCCTGTTACCATGGTAGTTGCCATTGATGGCAAAGTTACCATCGATGGTAAGTTTTATGCAACGGGTCCCTGACCCCCTGTCCTGCAAGATATATTTAGAAGAAGTAAAACCAAAAAAAGGGCTTTTATGAAAATGATATGATTTTATGTGGCACAATGAAATGAAATCCATCTTTAGGTATACATGAAGGTCTGTGTTTTGAACAGTTCTGAAGTCTATTTCTCTTCAGGCTGTGTGTCAATGCATACATGCCAACTGTTCAGATTAAAGAGGAACATTCCTCTTTTTGGGAGAAGATAATTATCATTTTAATGCAGGTGTTCCTCTTCCTGTACAAATTTGTCTGTAGTATTGAATAGGAGAGTTAGGATTGTTCCTCTTTTTTTTTTAAATAGCATAATTTGTACAGATTTCTGATTTTCAAATGTTGGCATGTATGGTCAATGCCACAGCTTGTAATGTTGATTGATTTTAATTGATACTCAATTGTGTTTACTGACCATAAATCTTACATCACTCCTGTGGGGACACTCCTATATGGCAATATTGGTTTGTCCCACATCTAATCAAGAGTGATTTAATAGTCTGATTATATTGTCTGATCAAAGCAAGAAGGTGCTAACTCTGTTAATACCCTTCTAGCTATGAAGGGACATAACATTGATGTACGCCCACTTGTCTGGAGTGGGTGTGTTTGTGTATAGATGTGTACACCTTGTTTGAAAGCCCTTACATAATCTTTCTTGTCATACTTTAAATCTTTTAAGGGCTTGTCAGGAAGTTGAAAGTCTGAAGAGAGTCAGAAGGGTGTTAACACCTCATTTATTCCACTGGTATAACACCCTCCTGACATGATATAGTGAAACCTGTCTATAAAGACCACCTAAGGGAGACCAAAAAGTGGTCTTTTTAGGCTGTTGGTCATTTATGTACAGGTTCCTTTAATACATGTTTCAATGAGAAACCATTTTCAAGGGAAACAAAAAATGTGGTAATTGTAGGCAGGTGGTCTTTCTATACAGGTGGTCTTTAAAGCAGGTTTGACTTTATAAGCTTGAGGTATACATCCAGTTGTCTGTAGTGGGTGCTTGTGTGTATACCCGGTTAATTAAAGTGCCTTTCAACGACACAAGTTTTCATGTGAGACTTACACTTACTATTTAACAGCTGATCTTGAAACGCTCGTCAAGAAGTTTGAGGAGGACCAGCTTGCTAACTTCTGCCGTGTTCTCTCCATCACCATCTCCGAGCTTGACCCTAAGGATGACCCTTGCACCCTGGCTGCCCAGGATAAGGCTTGCAGGAATCGGAGTGAAACGCCCATCTCTGAAGTCAACCAAAGTAAGGAATGAGTGTGTGTGATGGAGGTAGTTCTCGTTTTTTCTGCTAGAAATGATACGTTTTGTTTGTTACCGAACAACTGTGCTCTTCAAATAAAGACATATTTGAGCAAGTTCAAAGTATTTGGTTACTTTTGACATTTGGTATCCCATCCATTACCAACTATTGTGGAGTTGTGAACAAAAAGTTGACATCAAATTTGTCATTTCACTTAGATTTAAGCTGTAGTAAGGGGATGATTACAATACAATGATCAGATATACTTCAATTAAAGGCATCGTTTAACAATGTTAAATCTGAGATGCACGGCCCTACGTCTTATCAGTGTCTGTGATATGGTGTAATATTGAAGCCCTAAAAAAAATTGTGCTTCAAAATGATCAAGAAGTACCTCCAAAATGTAATCATCTTTTGAGTGAGCGCTTTTACCATACTCGTTTCCCCCAATAGACTGTAGTGTTGTGAAAACCGTTTGGTAAACGCAAAATTTGGTTTCGATTCCCAATCATAAATATCTTCATAATCAGACAGGCGATCGGCTTGTAAAAGACATGTGGTTCCTGACTGACCTAAAGGTTTATAATTATCATTGCAGCATGAGCTAGATCCAGGATTTTGTTTCAGAATCTGAGACAAAGTTATCGGATCCCCCCTTTAAGACGTGGCCAGTAATGTATGGTTCAAATACTTTGCACTTGCTCATTTCCAATAAGGCTGTTAATGACATCATGTGGTTATGATCCCTTGCTGAATATGTGTATTGTGAATGCTGTAAGCAGAAACCTGTGCATGCCACAAGATATTGAAAATTCCATTGCTTTCAAGAGCCAGTTGCAATATGTTGCTTTTTAATATTTTTGTTTACATAGAACATATGTTTAACTTATTACCCGCACATAATGTAGTGAAATCTAACTAGATATCACTTCCTACATGTGAGGTGCACATTTATGATTCCTGATATTTCTTTTGATCATTGTTAATTGACCTTTTCTGCATTTTTTTTTCTTTTCTTATAACAACAGAGACAGTAGTAGAGCTTCCAGGCTTTGTGCAGAAATTGGTCAAGATCGCCTGCAAGTCAGTTGGTGAGTTCTACAAATACCTATTTAAATTAAGATGATTGCCAAAGACTGTTGTATGATTACTAATATTAATAACATCAACAACAAAAATTGTAACTTATGTCAAAACAAGATGAAATCATCTTTCACTTCTGCAGGGCATGTTCTGGGATGAAAATGAATCTGATTGTGAATTACATCAAGAGATTACTTAAAATCGTATATATATATCTCTCTCTCTCTCCCTCCCTCCTCTCTCTCTCTCTCTCTCTCTCTCTTCTCTCTCTCTCTCTCTCTATTTATTTCTCTCTCTCTCTCTCTCCCTCTCTCTATTTATTTATTTCTCTCTCTCTCTCTCTCTCTCCCTCTCTCTATTTATTTATTTCTCTCTCTCTCTCTCTCTCTCTCTATTTATTTATTTCTCTCTCTCTATTTATTTATTTCTCTCTCTGCTCTCTCTCTCTCTCTCTCTCTCTTTTTCTCTGCTCTCTCTCTCTCTTTCTCTTATTCTCTCTCTCTCTTTTCTGTTCATCCCCTGCAGCCGAGCCCGACGGTGTGACCGACATGGACACGCTCTTCTCCCAGATCGATAGCTGGGTGACCTGGCTCGACAGCTCCCTGGCCTTTGACGCCCTGGCCGAGGTAGCCAACGAGGACGAAGGTGTCTACCTCAACCTCCCCCTCCACGACCTCTCCTTACCCCTCCCAGACTCCCTCAAGACCATGCACGAGGTAGTCTACAAGGTGGAGGTGCTCCACGTGCTCTGTCTGCTGCTTGGAGGCAAACAGAGGCACAAGGTTGGTCTCAAGATTTGTATATCATCCAATACATGATCAGGGGGTGTTTTACAAAGATCCTAAGTTGAACTTATCTCTAAGTTGGACTTAACAACTAAGGAAAGCCGTTAGTATCTTTACAAATATTTTGTAAAAATTTGTATTAAAAGACATAAAATGTTGATTCAAATCCTGCATGTTTTCTATTACCAAGGCGATTTAATTTTCTTTATGTGGAATTTATAAAAAGTCTAAAATACTTCAATTTTTGCTTTTGAATATTCTTTATTTTAAGGCTACAAATGGCTCTCAATGATTGTTAAGTCCAACGTGGAGTTAAGTTTGACTTAGAATCTTTGTGAAACACCCCCCTGGTGACATTTGCTCTGAAATTTATAGGGTTCAGGTTGGGGGTGCACTATATTTAGGGTTAGGCATTATGTTGGGCCTAGAGTTGAAGTTGGGGATGCCTGTACTGAACAACCTGCTTGATTAGGTCATCTGGAAATGTAAGTGGGGTCAGTCAATCAATCAATTAATCACATAGTCCATTCTCCAACCAACCAATCAATCAAGTAATATTGGTGGATTATCATTCCCAGGTGAATGAGATCCTAGCTCAGTGCAAGCTGATGCCTGGAATGAACAACCGTTTTGATAAGACGATTGGGGGTGCAACCTATCAAGTCAATCAATCAATCTATTATTCAATTCATGTGATCTAATGTAACTTGATCTTTCTGTTTAGGTACATGAGATCCTAGCCCAATACAAGCTGATGCCTGGACTGAACAACCTGTTTGACAAGGTGATCTGGAGGTGCAATCTTAGAGCTCCCATCCATGGGGTCAACGAGAACTGTGACTGCAGTCCAGAGGTTGCTCTCAAGGTCCAGTTCCTCAGACTACTTCACACCTATTGTGATCATCATGAGTAAGTTTCAAGCAAAGACCACATATGAATATGTATCCCCACTATTGGCAATGAGGTAAAAGGCCGGTCCCATTCGACTGGTAAGGATAACCTTTAAAGGTATCCAGTAACTTTGTCTTTGATCCTTTAATAAATCCTTGATTTAGCTTATGCTGCAATGATAATTATAAACCTTTAGGTCAATCAGGAACCCCATGACTTTTACAAGCCGATCGCCTGTCTAATTATCAAGATATTTATGATTGAAAATCAAAATCAAATTTTGTGTTTGCAAAACGGTTTTCATAACACTACAGTCTATTGGGGGAAACGAGTATGGTAAAAGTGCTCACTCAAAGGTTTTTACTTTTTTGAGGCACTTCTTGATCATGTTGCAGCGCAATTTTTTTAGGGCTTCAATATTACACTATATCACAGACACTGATAACACGTAGGGCCGTGCATCTCAGATTTAACATTGTTAAACGATCCCTTTAAATATAAAGTGTGTCTCAAGATATATACGTGGAAAAGGTATCCACCGTATTGATTTTGTTAAAGAAACATTAGCATTTATTATCGCGGTAGGACCTGCTACATTGATATCAAATTACTTTTCCACAGAAACTTATGGAGACGTTATTGTTATCATTATTTGACCAGTAATCATAACTGGTCAAATAGGACTGGACCCTCATGGAAGGAGCATCCATGGGAGAGTTGTTCACCTACCCACAACTGTGAGGTTCATTCAAGATAGTTGATAGTGGTCATGAAATGTCTTTATCAGTTCACTTTCTAGTGAAAACTGCCTTAATGGATACTATGTCCTACTTACTTGGGGGGAACCCATGGGAAATGCATGTTATATGAAATGACATTACCCCAATGAGTTATGTTCTGTTGTGGAGTTCATGGTGTCTTCTTGTCTTACTCAAACTTTCAGCTTAAGCCTTGTACTCATATGATTTGATTTTCAACAACTATCCTTTTACACTAAGTGATAATTATTTTTCTTGATATTAATGAACTTGTCATTTACAGCAACAAGTACCTGATCATGACCAGACATGAGATCAACGATCTCAATAGAATTTCATCAAGTTCCAACATTCCCCAGCTAGAAGCAGTCAAGAAGATCGACAGGTAAGATGAAAACCCCCATCTTAATAATCTTCCTCCCATCTTCCAATTTATATCATTACTATCATTACTGTCAATGTATGTCCAAATCTTATGAAACTTGTACTCGCAGGTCTTCTTATTATCGAGTCACTACACAAGTCCCGTCCAGTGGTCCATGCAGGCTTTGGCCACAGGTTATGAAGTATAAAAGATAATGAATACTAAACTTTAGGTCAAAGGTCAAAAGCAGTTGCCAAATGTCAATTGAGGTCATACATGTATATACCGCCAAATAAAAAATCATGTTGGCTTAAGTTTTGTCCTCACAAAGTATTTCATTCCCATGTCCAGTGCTTTTCATCACTTGAGATTTTCAACAAAATTTAGTTACTGTGTTGTAAGTTTGATAGTTTGGTAGTCCCAAACTTACAAAATCCCAGTTCTTGTTTATCACGCATTGAACTATTTATGAAATAAAGTTTGTTTGCAAATGCCATTGTATGATCATTAAGCTCCAGTCAGGCACAGTGCAACAGAATGCCTAAAGAGTGTGTTGCAAAATAAAAACCTTTATGAGTAAAATATCAAGTTGTGGTAAACAAAAGTGTATCTGCATGCTGCAAAGGCCCCTCTGCATACTTCTTAATCTGTATGTGAGAAGAACTCTAAAAGTGAAGCACACTACAGTTTGTGTCACCTTTTTAATGGCGATTTTGTTAGGCGGTGGTTTGCTGCATTATGTATGAATGATGCTTTAGTGAATATTATCTTTACCCAGGTGATGAAAATGTTATATTCGACAGGATATTACTGTGCTAAGGTCAGAAGAATATTGTCACTAAGCTAGTTTTAAAATATGTGGCGTTAGCTATGTTGTATTCAATTAGAATTGATTTCTTATCATTATCAGAACTCAGCCCTCTCAGTTTAACTATTTGAAAATGATCTTATTTGACAGGACGTTACTGTGCCAAGGTCAGAAGGGTATCCTCACCAAGCTGGTTGATGTGATGAAGAAAGAACCCAGAGATTCACCTTTCAGGTAACATGTTATTGAATAACATTCAGTAATTCCCAAGTCACACAAATAATAGGCATTTCTATAGTTCTATTGCGAGGCAGATTTATTATTGCCCCTGCTTTAGCCTAGCTGCCATTACAGCATTTCAAGGAATTAATTCCTGCCAGGTACCCATTTACCTCACCTGAGTCATTAATATGTGCATGCCATAGTTCATCAGTGAAAAAAGAAGCATGCATACATTTATCTACATATGTGTCTATTGTAAAATTTTATGCAAGAGGATACCATACCCAACATGGCAACAACTAGTGTTTGCATTCTGTGGCTATTGAAATACATCAGGCGAATAAGCCATTTTCGTAATGCTATCAAATTTAGTGCATCAGCCTATGTCTAGTGCCTTGTTACAAATTATTTCATCCACTTGTTAGGAATAATTGTATTTCAAAAGTCAGAATGTGAATTGCATACCTTACGTGTTGTTATGTAGGACAAGCCATAAAAAAAGGACAAATTCTAAGTTCTAAACTGAATGGAAAAAAAATATTTCTTGGAGGTCCCCCAATCAGGAGAGCCCTCAAAATAACCCCAAATTAACCCAAAATAACCCAGTAGAGATGGTTATGATTCACAGCATTTATAATGACACCATATTTCTGTTTCAAAAACATTCAAGGTACAAGCTCCTCACATGAAGGCAACATTTTAACATTTGCATGAATAGTATAAGTTTTAAGGAATGATTTGAAATGTTTAAGGATTAAATTTGTTATTCATAAATAATGATTGTTATCATTATCATTATTGTATTTCTCCAGGTTCTGGATGGCCCGCGCCATAGAGAGCTTCTTGAGAGGCAAGACATCGTATGCAGACCAGACTTTCCTTATCAGAAAAGGACTTCTAGAGGTATGAAACCAAATGTAAACATATCATTTCAGGACAAGACAGTCCTCAGAGATTAGGCACATATATTACAGATTATATTTAGTTCTGGTAGCAAGAATCAGGAAAAAAATGTCTTCACTTATATCTTTAAAAAAATGTTCTGCCCCATGATTTTTAATAAATTTAGTGTAAATATCTGAAATAATTCAAGTCTTGGCTATGATTTTGTTCCTAAACTCACAACCTCATGGCAGAGCAACCTAATAGAGGTTTGATCAAATTATGTTTATGCAGCTTTTTGTTGATTTTCAGGGATCCGAAATATACTCTGGTATTGATTGCTTCAGGTTTTAATTTGTCTAAAGCCTCGATCACAAATGCCATTACGAACTGCTACGAACGCCGTACGATCGATTTTCAGACAATGGAAATTCGGGAAGACAATGGAAAAATGGAGATTCGTACGAAATTATCGTTCGTACGAACCTCTGTGACCGTAGCATGAGGTATTGGGTTTTAGGTTGGATGTAGGGTTAAGTGTTGGATCCAGGATTTAAGTGAGCAATTCAGTTAGTGCAGGAAACTGACCAATTAAGAGTTGCAGGAGTATCTGTTGTACTACCGGTTATAAAGCCATAGGAATTTGATAATCAGAATTTAACAACAAGGTGCTGAAATTGGCTTGAAAAGGGCACTTATTTAGCACACTCTAAGGGCTATATATCAAGAAATTGAGGTGCGGCAAATTCATAATGAAATTTGAGGTTAAAAACTTCTTATTCATTTTTTGTGATCATTGATTCTTGAAATTAATGTCGCATAAACCTGCAAGTGTTTAAAAGAAATGATGGCTTGCTGTTGTGAATGGTGAAATATCACTTCTTATTTTATTACTCCTACACAGCATGTTGTACAGCACATCCTGAGCAGTGATCACCACTCCAAGGAGGTGCTACAGAGCTACTTTGATCTGCTGGCTGAGCTCATGAAGTTCAACATCCTGGCTTTCAAGAGATTCAACAAGGCCATCAACTCAGAAGAACAGGTGAGGACCTGTAGTGATGATGGTGGTGGTGGTGGTGGTGGTTGTGGTAGTGGTAGTGATGGTGGTGTTGGTGGTGGTGGTGGTGTTGGTGGTGGTAGCGGTAGTGTCGGTGGTGGTTGTGGTAATGGTGATGATGATTATGGTGATAGCTGAGCTGATGAAGTTGACTATCCTTGCTTCCAAGAGATTCAGCAATGCCTTCAGCTCAGAAAACAGGTGAGAACCATAACAATTGTGATGGTTTTGATAGGAGTGGTGACTATAACTGATAATATTGTTGATGGTGATGGTGATCGCAGTGATGATGAAGATGATGGTGATGAGGATTATGGTTATGATAATGGTCATAGTGTTGATGATGTCGTTGGTGATAGAGATAATAGGGATGATGATGATGGTAATGATAAAATAAATGGGCAAAAAAATTCTTAGATCTTGCTTGAATCTCACATTTTTCACACAAGAAGCCTTTTTTCGATATCCTTGAGGATTGCATACATTAATTATTGATAGAGAATTCTGAATATGAAATACAATTATTTGTAACAGGTGAATCAAATCATTTCTAACGAGGCACATTAAATTTGATTACATTGCGAAAATGGCCTCTTCTAACAAATGGCATGAATGATTTTCTATATCTTACACTTCATGTCATTCTTATGTGTTCTCTACAGTTCATGCAGTTCATAGAGCTGGTACATACCCACATTGTAGACTCTAACATGTTTGTGAGATGCCTGGCCCTCACTATCGAGCACTTTGAGAAGGAGCAGCCAGAAAACTATGGTAAGTTCATGTGGAAATTAGAGGTTCTATCCAGATTTTTCTATTTCAGAAGTGTTTTCTGATAGCTGAAATAGATCATCAAATTTGATGCATAGGCATACACAGGAGTGACTTCAAAAGTGATTTCTTTGAATGAGGGGTTGAAAAGATCTGACTAACCCACATGAATATGTCACTATATTTTGCAGCAGTTACGTCATATAATTCCAACCTTGAATGGTTGCTACCCTCACCCCTCAAAATTATTTGCCTACTTGAGTTTCAATCCTCTTCATCTTGGACAATGGTTTTGCATCTTTTGTTTTGTCTGCGAACAGAATGAAACATAAATCTGCTCTTTACTCCTATGAATATTAAACTTTATACCTTTATATTTGTTTTGGTGACATCTTTATCTAAGAATTCTAAAGCACTTTTATAATGTGAAGCTGTAATTGCATCTCTTGATCTTTTGTTTGTTTAGAATGGGGCATTCAGTCATGTCGTCTCCTTCAGTACATCTCTAAGAGAGAGAACCGTCTCACCTTCCTCTTCAAGCTCATTAACATCATCCATGTAGAGATTCTCACCCAGGTAAGATGATAATCATAGTCACATTTCTAAAGCGCTTGATATTTCGTTTTCTAAGCGCTTTACATTGTAATTAATATTTCCCCGGTCATTGGATTCAATTGCTTATTCGCTCATGATAATGCAAAAGTTCTGCTCCCTGAAGAGTGTTTCGGCCAGGCACCATTTTACAAGCGCACACTTGTCAACAGAACCACATTAATGGTCGCATCCTTCCCGATACCCATTGAACACCTGGGTGGAGAGTGGCAGTTGTAGATTAATGCCTTGCCAAAGGACATTGGTGTCACGGCGGGACTCGGACCCCGAACCATGCGAACCACATTCCAGCGTCGTATCAACTAGACAGCGACACCTCTTCACCTCTAAGATAATGATGGTGGAGATAACATTTAGGATTGAGGAGCAATTCAACGTGGGCCTCGGCTTAATTTCGCACCGCCGTCAGGCGTGCTTCATTTCGTCACATGCATTGGTTTCCTTATTTCCCCTCCATGGTCCCTACACATAACTTGCGTGTGACAAAATGAAGCGTGCCCGGTGCAAAAGTGCACAGTTACCTTCAATATGGGTGGTGACAAAATGAATAACTTTTGCTATACTTTGCACAACATGGAATACTCCCCAGGGAGCTGAGCATGTGCACTATCATGTGCTGATTATCAAATGAATCCAATGACCAGGGTTATGATTGCAAAATAATGCACTTAGAAACGTAGTATTAAGCGCTATGCAAACGTAACTATACTTATTATTATCATGGATCAGTGCTATATTCCCACTGATTCGTATAGTTATTACAAGGTCAGGTGATAACCACATATGAGAATCCTATGGCTGTCCTCCCTCTGCGTAGCCTATATAGGAGACTCACTCCTTATTGATGAACTTGTAATGAGTGGAGTGAAAAGCCCAAAGAGGTACACCCCAACCTCCCAATCTGTGATACAAAGAAGGATAGGCTCAAAGGGCACAACAGTTAAAAGAATTACCGTTTTGACTTTGAGATGTCTTTTTAGGGAGTTTTCTTCTCTAGAGATGATTTTTCTGCTGATGACAGCTAAAAATAATTTTCCCCTCCCACTGTTGGTCCTTGGCACATAAGACAATCTTCCTGTTATTGATGTTGCGTGTCTTTACGACTTGTTTCTTGCAGGAGAACGTGAGTTGCCTGAACACCACATTCATCTTCCTAATAATCCATTTTTGTCTTCATGTCTTTTGGGGATTTAAGCAGAGCTCTCATGGAGCTACCAGAGCTGAATTGCTATATGCTCCACTGTATTTTTCTTCTGCTGATGACAATTAAAATTAATTTTCCTCTCCCAATGTCCGTCGGTCCTCTGCCCATAAGACAATCTCCTTGTTATTAATACCAAATGTCTTAACGACTTGTTCTTGCAGGAGAACGTGAGTTGCTTGAACACCACCGTCATCTTCCTGATGTTTGCTGATCGTATCGGTGAGCTCTCCCGCTACCTCACCGATCTGAGGAAAGAAGAACAGAAGCAGTGCAGACCCGGATTCCTCCTTCAAAACTTCAGGTAAGAGACTAGAGAGGGTTGTTTTCATTTCTATTTTTGGACTTGACAAAATGACAACTTTGCTATATTCAGTTAACAACTAGATTATTCATACCCTTGCTAAGTTTTGTAAGTATGAGAAAATTGATTTGGTCCTCATTTATGTTCCTTGAGAATGTGACATATTAAAGCTTACATCTAAACATATTCAACAAATACCCTATTTCAATCAGTCCATCTTTTATTCTTGAGTTACCCCCAAAACACAAAAAAAACATCAAATTTACAAGGGATATGAATAATTTAGTCGTTAACCGTAGGTATTTGAAATGTGAGTATTATCACAATGGGACTACTTCTCCTTTTGTTCTTTACTGTAAATTCTCTAAAAATTCCCTGATTGAATTTGTATGTTGTGATAATTGTATCAATGGACATTTAAAGTCATCTTACCAATTATGTAATTGAGTTGGATTTGATGGGTCCTCAGATACTAGTAGACAACAATGCTTCATATTGTAATATCCAATTTAACAGTTTTTCACATGAAAAGACTATCAAGTGCTTTCGCTTCCTCGGATCACAATTATCTTTTTAAAAGGAAATGTTATGGTATAGCAATATGTAAGTGTTAGTAGTTACCAAGGTGAGATTTTAGAGAGGCTAAGAGTTATTTGAAATTTTAGTATGATACAACAAATTTTCAAGAAAGGCATGAGACAGGCCTTGCTCTATATATTGTGGTCCGAATTACCAAGATTGGAGTTTGTGGAGGCCTACGTAAGGTATGAGAGCTTGTAGGTTTGAATTGATCTGCAGTGTAACACAGACCGCATCAAGGGCCCTGTTTCATAAAACTTCATATCAATAACAAATGCTAAATTTCTATAATAAATTTACACACGGCCAATCAATGCCATGATTTTAGTAGCTTATAACAGTTATTGTAACTTGTTATAAGATGATGAAGCAGATCCTAATCAAATGATTGGTTGAGAGCGTACATGTGACCAGGCATTTATTTTGCCTAACATGTAATTTTACTAATGATCGGTCATTAGTAAAAAAATTACCCACACTCGATACCTTCGAAACAGACACCGAACACCCCCAGCTATCGCCTCGGGCGTGTTAGACTGTCCCAAAGGTACCTTGTGTGGGTAATTCTTACTAATGCCCTCACTGCTTCTTGTTGTATATTATTGATATCAAGTTTTATGGAAGAGGGCACAGGAGTATGCTCATGGTTTTATCACCATCCAAACCTTTTTTTGCATAGTTCTGTATCATAATAAACTGTGTTATAAATGCATACTTATTTTTTGCCTACATTCTTTCTTTCAGGGAGCTGCTATTCTTCTGGCAAGAACACTATCTCCACAAAGACAAGGACTGTAGCGCCCTGGAGAAGGTAAGGCTTCCATTTTGATATTTGATGGTCACTTTGAGGCACCCTTGTGCGGCATCTTCAACAAGATTCAAGTGAAAATTATTATGTAAAGCATTACAGTGCATTAGACTACCACCAGTCCTTACAATCTCCTTTCCTCAATTGCACAGCAAATTTCCTCATCAAGGTAATACCCTCATCCAATGCCCTCATCACTCTTATAACGTGGTTTGATAAACATTTTAATAGATAATGATTGACCTGTTATATGTTCTTTTATCGAAGATGAATTTTTTATCTGGATCTTACAGGGTAAATTGTCAGAACGGTAGTTGTCCGGGTGGTCATCATCCTCAACTTTAATTATTCTTGTTGATGTTGATTTCCAAGATATAGGTGTTTAGATAATCACTATATATTCCTAATCTGTGACACTTTATTTTGGGTTTGTCCATTGTCGGAATGGAGATGGTGGTAAAGGGGGGTATCTCACCGAGCAGCGAATGCTTACGAACGTTGAGTTATGGATTCGCCAACTTCAGCGACACCGTCTTACTACCGTTTGCAGAAAAATAATTTTGCATTGCGTCAAGAAAAAACGTTTGCAACAATGAAAACTGTTCGTGAACTTTCTTGCAACCTTTTTCGAACCATGGCGAAACCCAAAATTCGCTACGTTCGCAAGCATTTAGTGAGATAACCCCTTTATGGAGAAGAAATAGTTACTGGAAATTCTATGCTTCTGCCTTGCACTAGTTTGTCCTTTTTTTTAAATTTCATTTCATCTCTTTCTCCCTCCCTACAGAGCTCCTGCATCAGTTTCTCCAAATGGAAGGACATGGTCAGTCTACTGGTCAGCGGCAACACCCACTCCTCCTTGACCGTTGCTCACTATCTGGCCATGGATGACCTCTTGCCCTGTACGGAACACCAGCATGCCCCGATGCGCACCAGCTGAGGCGAGCCAGCCCCTTAACTTCCAACCCCCCCCCCCCCCCTTGCTTATGATTTTTCTTCTTTTCTTGCCTTATTTGGAGGAAGAGGGCTCCTGTTTGGTAACAACGGGGAGAGGGTTTGTCTGTTACGATCCAATGCATCGTTTCACATAACCATCGTAACATCCCATTGGAATGTGCGTTAATTAGCGTTGATTTCCTAAACCTGAATTTTGATAGGATATCAGCGATTGTTTTTAAGCCATTTTCGTGTAACGACGTGTATTGATTTTGTTACATGTAACCATGTCAAGCCCCTTTCAGCGAAATGTAAGAAATGCAGAGGCATGGTGTCTGCTTATCATTGGGATGTCTTAAAAATAAAATTAACCTTTTATTTCTTTTCATTTTTTATGTTAACTTAGAATGAAAGAAACGTCTTTGTATTTTTAGATATCACGTACAGTAGAGTGGGCGATAGATAAGGTAGACACACCAATGAAAGAAAGTGTACAGTAAATATAGAGAAAGTTATCTATAGCCCGTTCCAGGATACTCCCGAAATTTGATCCAATTTAGGAGCCTGATATATTGAGGCGAGAATATTGTGGCGTAACGTCAATGAACTGGGCTGGGGTAATTGTTTACTTTTCATTTACGCGCCTAATGATGCACTAACGTCACGTTAGATCAAACTTCCCAATTTTGCGCTAACTGGTGCACACGCTATTGAAACTAGAATCCATAGTCTCGGCTTGTTGTTGGCACATATCTTTCTATGCTTGATGAAACTGGTATATCTCTCGATCATGCCAGAAATATATGAAATGATGAAATATCTCTCGCATATGATTTAAGGCATCAAGCTTTGGATGATAAAGTGAATTTATAGCATCCTTTGCAAACTCTGCACCTCTTCATGGTTTGTGTTTCCGACGAAGCCGGCCTGGTAATTGTGGTGAACGTTGATCACTGAAAAGTGTCAACGAACAGGAGTTGTCTGAGAGCATGCGGCAAGCAATATGAATGTGATGAGACCAACCATCAATTAGCGAAGCTTTACCTGGCTTTCGATGGGCAACTCTACCCTGCCCACAACTTGATAGCAGTGCTATGCCTCCGTTTATTATCGTGTCTGCGTCAAAGAAAAAGGAGCGACTTCACAAGATATCCAGGTAACGGTGCTATCGGTGTATTCATCATGTCGGGTTAAACGTGACAAATTAGCACCACTCTCCAAACATGAAGCTTCGATCCAAAAAACAGGGAATTATCATATTGTGTGCGTGGACTACGTTGGAAAGAGAAATCTTTTAATTACAGACAGTTTTGGAGAGTGACAGTAAGAGAAGAATACTGACCTCAGTGGTGGCAGTGAAACGGTGTGGATATGCCGAAGGAAAGTGATGGTATGTGACTATGACGGGTGGAAAGACAGTTCTTTGCAAGATGACGAAAAAGGGATATACCAGGCATGGACAGACATTGAGAGAATCTGAATATGAGGAATCCATGTGGATAATCAGGATTGTCAAGACTTGTATTGTGTAGGAAGCTTTAAATTACAGCCCGTGCTCCGTGAAAAAATTGAGGATATTTTATATAGATAAGAGTGTAGTTAGAGAGATCTTTTCAATGTTTTTATGATGTAAGAATGTATCGCTCGTTGCGGTGTATCATGTACATATACATAGGGAGAAGAGCAAAGGGCTGTTTTCTAGTGAGGGATACATGCTGTCCTAAACTGATGTGTTTTATATATGCTTATCATGTGATACATTTGATTTTTCTTTTTTTTCTCTCCTTCATTTGAACATGGCGGAGACATGTACATGGTGCATATAGAGTTTGTGCCATGCAAAATCTCGCAAGATGCACCAAAGGATGTCGTTCATTTATCAGAATTGATTGAAGGAATATATTACATAAACCAGAGCCATTTTTTAAATTCTAAGACTTGATAAGATGTAATGAGGATTCATTTTACAAAGGTACTTTATAGACAACACGAAACCCTGCAAATGTGCTACCATTTCTAAAATAAAATGTTGATGTGTTGGTCATAAAAGCAAGGATATTGTCGATCAACAAATGTGTTTCATTCAGTATTGTTCATATCACATGCCCGTAAATCATTGTGATGAAATAAGTAGTTCATATTATGGTACTGTTTGTTAAACTGAAAGAAAACCATCTTCTCTCTAAACTGCACTCAGCAATCATTTTAACTTGTGTTTTTTTTGTTTATCATTTTAACTTACTGTTAATGTTGAACGTAATATCTTGAGTTAAGCACAGTGGAATATGAAAATCTAAAACCTCATACCTAAAATTGTGTATTCCGTTATGGTAATAGCCTAAATGTTTAGTAGGTAGAATTTTCATGGCAGATATGCTTCCTTTTATAGCACGTATTACATTTACATGAACAATACTAAAAAAATTGTCACTTTCTTTATTTCAAAATCTACTAACAAATTTTTACATCATATTAAGATTTCTTTGATTCTGGTCGAAATAGTGGTTTCACATTCTAAACATTATTTTCTTGTAACAGCTTGGAGTAAATTTGGTTTTATATTTTTGATAGCCATATGTTCTTTTTATCTTGCAAGACAGACTTGCAACATATTCTGCTTAAAAAGGGAAATTGAACAATGCTCTATTACTTTTCACCTGTTCCTCCAAGTCAACATATCTTTTATGTATATTTTTATTGGATTTAGAGAAGTCTCATTTCTAATGTGTATCATTTTCTCTGAAGAAAGACTTTGGATAAAGACAGAATTCATTCATCATATCTATTACTGCACTCCGTCTGAAACAAATGATTCTGGTCGTTTTACTTTTTATTTTCCTGTGAATGGAATTACAGTCTTTGGGCCAACAATTATTTTGCCTGATATATCTTATATATACAATGCATCTTTTGTTTTTTGTATTACATTCATCTAAGCTTTGCTTTTTGTCTTTCCGTTTATTTGATGGACATTACAGTTTGTCACTGGTGTTTTAATCAAGTTTTATTTTAAGTGATTTTAAGAAGAAAAAAAATGATGATTTCATGTAATATATTTTGGAGACTATTTTTTGTTTTTAAGTGTCACATCTGTTTTTTTCATTTAACAGTTGTGCAACAGTATAAAACATATTGATTAGTATGTGGTAACACTTATTGTTTTATGAAAAATGCAAAGTGGAAGATTTAAGATGTTAAGAATTTTGGATTGTTCCATTCCCCAGTTCAGAGAGCATAGTTGTTAGTACATGTGCTGGTTTGCCGGCAGAAGAGTGGTGGCAATGAAATCCTGAGTAGTCTTATGCATCAGCCTAAGGAATTCCTCAATGCTAATCCTCATCTGTCAAGCACACAATGATAACTCCACCCATAGCAGTTTACAGTTTATTTTCTTAATGAATCAATTTTCTCTCTTCAAATTGGCAACAATTAATCTTCTTTTCCGCTCCTTCATTTTTCGAAAAAAATAACAATGTTTATTAAATGAAGTGAACCATTGTGAAAGAAAATGATTAAATTTAACAAAGAAATTGACAATTTGTACACAGAAAGAGTGATTTTATATTCTAAACCGCGTTGCCAATTTACATACTATAATGATTAGTTCACAATTAAACCGCTCTTATTCGAGAACGGCACAGCGCTCAATTTTTCCATGATTTTTTGCTCTTTTTGCTCACATACAATCTTTTGTTCCCAGCATTCTTTTTTCAAAGGTAATGCAAAATTGTCACTGTTAAGATACACTGTGCTGCTGTGGGTCAAACCCGTGCTTTATCCAGGGGGATGGTACACAATGTGTATACACCTTGCTATATAGGATGGGAATCAGCGAAATCTTAAAATATTTTCACTGTTTAATCAAATTCACTTCATGTTCATCATTTAAATAGACTACCCCTCTGAGAAATTTCTCATACAGAATGCCTGTTCTACAAAAAGTTACTGTTTTGTTTCATTTTATGTTATAAATGTGACTGGTTGCATTTACAAACAAAACTGCTGCATTTAGATATATTTTGCTACTTGTTCTCAGTTCCTCACACTTGTTCACCCAATAATATGTATTCAAACATGTTTATTTAGTTTTTGTTTGTAATGCACATTTATCTCTTCCCTCAGTTCCAACTTAAAGAAAATGTTATAATTCAGAGAAAAATGGAATTGGAAAGTTTCCTGCAAAATATGATGATCTGAATTTGCTTCTTCTTCTTTTGTTGTTGTTGTTGTACATTTAGAGATTATGTCACATTGTATTAGTAATGAGATTGTTGAACATAAATTCTGTAAAATGGGCCGAATAGGAATGACAATTACAAAATGATTTATGACGCACTTCTTCCAGGAATGTATTAGACCTGATAATTTGTTTGTTCATGATGAATGAAATATATTTAAAAAGGGTTGGCATCCGTCATAAAAAATACAACTTTCCAATTTTCGTTCATTTTTACCACATTTATTGCAACATATATTTCATTTCAAATGTTTTGTTTAAACTGGAATACATCTATAAAGCATCTATATGTCTTGTACCACAGCACTGCACAGCTTTTACACACTCCATTTCTGATATACTCTCTGCAGTGTTCCATCATGTATAAATTCCATGTAGCTCTTTAACATAGGAAGAAAAAAAAGTCAGCAGAAAATTCCCATGCAGTATTGAAAGTGATTGAAAGAAAGAAACTTGTTTAAACTGGAATGTTTTTCGTAGTCGGTTGTTATCAGTGATGTTCCCAGCATGGAATATTGTCAATAAAATTGTAAATGAATTCTCAATGTTAATGGCTTCTCTTTCGTGCATTTATTACGGTATAGCCTTGTAAAAGCCCTGTTTACATATGTAATGAACTGCTTTAGAAAGAAGAAAAAGAAAAGCGGTGGTAAATGATATGATATTAGAGTATTAAATGCACTTAACATTTTTGTGTCTTACAACACACAGAGGAGTGAGTAAATATAGTGGCCTTGATTGTGTGGATCTTTTTTTTCAGCCCGCTTGGCATTCCCATACAGTTAAAATCGGGTTTTTATTTTGCAAATTCTCAGTAAAGTGTAGAAGAAGAGATAAGTTTTATTCTTATTTTCTTATTCTTTACCCATCACAACTTTATCATTCTTATGAATGAACGAACAGCTTTGTTGTCACTTGAATTAAGTTATAGGGCTCAGCGAACTCTAGTTGTCTTAATATACAGG